CGGTCAGAGGAAAGCCACAAAATATTTCAGTCTGGATAATCGGTGTCCCGACAGAGATTTTAACCGAGAACCTACCGAATACAAGTTCACAGCTAGGTCAGTCTGTTAGGTAAACCCTTTTTGAGAAGGGATTAATCGTTCAGTTGGTCAAGAAACTGTCCGCATTTTAAGAAGCCTAAATATTCATTACCACGTTCACAAGAGCCTGTCAATAAATTTTTGGGAATAAAACTCAGGACAGAGAGGCCGATGAATTCAGTCCTACCATAATGCGTTTTATTCGTGCATTTGATTTGAAGAACGCATGAAATATGCACAAATGTAATCCTATTAAATCTGTAAGACAACGAAAGAGTTTTTAATATGTTTCTACGCAAATTACCTATATTTTCATAACCGGATTAAACTGGTCAAGCCTCCCACTGTGCCCTGTATCAAGAGGCTGTATTACCTTGTCACGTGCGCCTTATGTTGGGAAGGGTGAGTTGCACACGCACACCGTGGGGTGCGTGACGCAGATCTGTCGCACGCCACGATCGAGATTACGAGAGGCCGTCCACTTTAAAACGAACCATTTTTAAGTCTTGCTCCTTGCAGTAAAGAGGTCCAACTCAATAGGTGTTTGTGTTAACTACTAAAATAATCTTCTGGCTTCTATACTGACCTAATCCTTCCAGCCACACTATGGTCCTGGGGTTGACTTAGCCTCCAACAGAAATGAGTACCAGGAATTCATTAAATAATTTTCCTGGGGAGTAAAGCGCGGCCGGCGCGTAAGGCTGACAATCTTACCGCCATCTTTGAGCCGATTGTCTATATAATGTGGGACTTTCAACGTCTCACAACCCTATGGGCGTCAGGCATAATTTTAGGTACGAATCGGAATACATAGCTCAGTAAAGTAGGAACTCATCTCCCTCGGTTGTCTTCTGGCCAATTCGGGTACCATGAAAAATTTCCACAAATACGCCGTCACGGTGTTAGGGTTTCAGCAAATTGGAGCTGTTTTTTCTTGGAGCTTCTAGACAAAATCTATGTCAGATTCAGTCTCTGATACAATTTGATCAATCTCCATTAAAGTTCTTGCTTAATTTGTTCATCAATATTCATTTTTAGGTTGTACCTGAGATCCCTGTTCTCATTAATCATACCGAGAGATATGCCGTCGTGTGAAGCTTCAGGGCGGACGAACAGACAGGTTCACACACTCACCGAAGCGAAGTGCCACGACATAACATTTCCTTACAAATTACACGCAGATGTACTTTCTCTTCTCCAATGGTATGCCTGCTTTCCTTGTCAGTCTCTCAGCTTTGTATATGTAAAAATAAAATGATAAGTTATCCCTGTAAAAGGCCGTTGAGGTCCATAGGTTTGTGAGACGTCGAGGCTCCCACATTTTCTAGACAATCGGCTCACAGATGGCGGTGACGTGAGCCTTACGCGCCGAATGCCCTTTACTCCACAGAAAGAGTCCTGGTATTCATTTCTGTTAGAGACTGAGTCGACCCCAGGACCATAATTCAGCTGGAAGGATTAAGTCAACTGAAAAATCCAATGTCATACAAAATCGAACCCGCGACCTTCCGGCTTGTAGCATAGTGCCTCGGCCAACTATGATACCGCGTGCGTTTTTCATATGTACATCGCCTTAATAGCCATTTTCCTCTTTGGCTCTACAGCCCCAATTTGGACCTTGACCTACCACCATGAAACCTTCCGTTTCACTTCGGTTTACTAGATCTTAGACATTCGGTAGGACCCCTTGGTCGGGTGATCAGCTCGTCGCAAGGCTTCTGCCTGTACACAAACACAGAAAAACACACAAACACACCCACAAATACTAAACATCCATGCCCTGAGTGGGATTCGAACCCACGATCCCGGTTTCCGAGACAGTACATGCCTTAGACCGCTCGGCTACTGTGACCGGTCTTCATACCCATAGCTGTCGTAAATACTGGCAATAGTACGGAATAAATTTCATAACATGTTTGGGTGTTCTGTGTCAGGTTCTCCATACGAAACAGGAAACAGACATAAAGTTAGCTGCTGGACTGCTACTAGAAGTCACTACGCATCCGGAAAATTATATAATATAATAAAAAATAGCCATCATTCAACTCTTCTCATTTTCATAAAATTTTCATATAAGAAAAAATAAAAATTGCTGAACATAATTGAGTAAAACCACGTTTAACTTAACCTGATAAGCTGCGATACGATCAAGAACATCAATACTAAATTCTTCAAATCGCACTTCCCCAAATTTACCATTAAATTTAGGTTATTGCTTGCTTGTATTTACCTGCACCTACATTTCAATCAATCTTGTTTAGCAGAGACCGCACCCTACCATTTAGAAGGATCATGCAGTACGGGACTGCATTTAGCTAACACGGCGTAGACAGCGTGGCGAGATAACAGAACTGAATCCTTGTTGTGTCAGGCCACATTAATATAATGATAGCGTGAGCGTGAGGGGGAGTGGGTCTGGGCGAGAGAGACCTGATCGTCAGACACTATTACTTGTATCGTGATTGCAACTGGGTCTTTGAGGTCATGGGACAAGAGTGCTGCAGTTTTTAACTAGGTCTCTTGTAAAGTTTGAGAATCAAATTGTATGGTTAGGTTATCCGGACGTTTTATAGATTGTTTCAGAAATTGTACATTCATTTATCTATCTATGGCTCTACAGCTCTTGCGGACTGACCCTTCCCCAATATTATATACTTTTTATCTTGTAATTGCGTCCTCCGGTCTAGAAAACCGAAATTAACGGCCGTGGGGATTCGTTGCGCTGACCACGCGACACCCTCTATCCGCAAAAGTTGGCACTGAATTTCGCCAAAAAGCGGCGGTCGCTCGGTCGGTATAATTGGCTTGCGGACTAAACTCACGGAGTTTGTTTTTGTGTCCTGCCGGTCTCGGTAGCCGAGCGGTCTAAGGAATGTACTGTTTTCGCTCGCTCAGAAGCCGGGATCGTGGGTTCGAATCCCACACAAAGTATGGATGTTTGGTGTGTGTATGCGTTTATTCTGTGTTTGTGTTGTCCTGTGTTTAGGTAGCAGCCTTGCGACGGGCTGATCACTAGTCCAAGGAGTCCTGCCATCTGTAAAATGATCATGAAACAGAAATCAGCTCTATGCTCCGAAGTAGGAGCAACAGGAGAGAGAAGTTAATATAAGATTCAGAGTTCTGTCTTCTGGAATAAGTTGCCATGTACTCCGATAAAAGTCAAGAGAGCAAGGAATATATCATCGCCTTCATCTTCAGGGCCAAAGAGTAAAACAAGTAAGGAACTGGCATGAAGCAGACAGGAAGTAGAGCTTTGCTTGATGTCTGCTGTGACGTGTCTTACACTTTGTATTCGAAATTTTTTATAGTGCGAATTTGATGAAATATAGAAGTATTTATGCACCAGAAATCTTTCGGGATGTAATATTGAATTGCGTCTCAAACATATCTTGGAGTATATGAATCCTTAAGCATCATATAATGATATTAAGTTGTTACTATATCATTAGAAAGTTATTGGATTCTATTTTCGACACATAGCGGGAATCCAAATTGCCATGCCGGATGCCTGGTTCGACAAAAGAGGACTTTTCTTCTGTAAGGCCTTCCACTCATGATGTGACATACCTTCAAATAAGTTTTAGACAAAAGAGTAATATAAGCAGTATATCTTGTAGCTCGCCACAGACAAGCTTTGACACTCAAGTGGAACAGTCTTACTCTCTGTCACGAATGTGGGCTAATCCAGTGAAACAAGCCTAACACGGCGATAAAAGGTTATGTTTTTAAAGCGAGAGCATGTGTGTGCAATATTATATCTACTTAACGATGCTGTAACATGACGAACTGATGGGTGCAAACTGTGCATGTGCAGTTAAAATCCTTCAGGTAAGAGAAAAATGTCCATTTATTCAAAATATCATTTGTAATAAAAATAGAAGACTTATCAGCATCTATCTGATTTCTGTGAAAATTAGAAGCGGTGAATCTGAAGTAGGACAATAAACTAACACAATTCCTATAATAATATAATTTATTTTCAGTGTCACAAATTATTCTGTGGTCTATTTTACATTGTCAGTATTACCTCGGGTTATGCAGGGTTGAATGGATGAATGACTAGTGAGTAATTAATTCAAAAGAATTGATCCTGGCCTAACTGAGTTACTATTCCAGCATTTGCATGGAAGACCTGAGGAAAAACACGAAATACCTCATTCAGAATAGCAGATGTCCTGGCCAAGATTTGAACCTAACATTTCCTGAATACAAGGATACAGCTTTACTGCAACACCATTCAGATCCACAGTGTCAATGATATGGGGCTGTGTGGGAAGATGGGGTGCATTATGTAATTTTATATATCATGTATGTAGTATACAAGAGAAAGAACTGTGATTGGGGAAAAATTCAACCTCGAGATTTTGGCGGATTTACACATTTTTGGTCTCCCAAGTATGAAAATGTGATTTTTTAAACGCTGTGTGTGTGGATGGATGCATGGATGTGCATCTTGAAAACACCTAAAGCAATGCTAATTAGATTTCAGACCATGGGGATCACCTCCCTAAATAAAATGACATAGGTTGTATCTTCCGGGGGAAAAAAAAATGGCATGCGCACTTAGGGGCCTTAACGCGAATTAAACTATTTTGTCAAAACCGGCTCTACTGGTTGGACAGATTTCATTGTTGTTTGGTACTGAATACTCAACAATTTTCTACTGAGTAACAATCAACTTTTGCTTCCAATGTAATGTAGGCAAGACCAGTTGTATAAGTGCATACAATGTCTTCACACCAATTTCTACTTTCTCAAATATGTGGACTATATGATAAAATATTGTGATCTTGAAAAGAATTGATCAGATATTTTGATGGATTTACAGTCGAGGGTGTTTGAGAACAGAGTGCTCAGGAGAATATCTGGACACAAGAGGGATGAAGTGACAGGAACCTGAAGAACACTGCATAATGAGGAGCTTTATAACTTGTACTCCTCACCAAATATTATTAGAATGATCAAGTCAAGGAGGGTGAGATGTGTGGGACAGCTAGTATTCATGCAACAGAAAAGGTGTGCATACAGGGTTTTGGTACACAAACCTGAAAGAGACCACTGGGAAGACCTAGAAATAGACAGGAAGGTAACATTAAAATGAATCTTAAGGAAATAAGATAGGGAGATATGGACTTGATTCACCTGGTTTGGGACAGAGACCAATCACAGGTTCTTGTGGATATGGTACTGAACCTTCAGGTCCCATAAAATGCTGGGAATTTCTTGAGTGGCAGAGCAACCACCGACTTCTCAAGGACTTGGCTCTATGAGTTGTCTTTTTCAAATATCTGATACTTGCCACATGTTTAGGGATTTATTGGCTAGCAATATTATAGTCACAAAATGAGACATGAACATCTACTTCATTTTTCTGTTTGCTTCCAGACCAGCAAACAGCTTATGTGTTTTCCTTTACAACATGATGAGCACAGCAAATGTGTAGATACACATATATTTATCAAGAATATAACATACATCAAAACATGAATATACAAAATATCAATGGATCTGTACTCCAAATGCAAGTCAAGAATTCACATTATGATCAGTCCTCCTTCCAGAACTTCTTTTCAGATCACCCTGGTGATCAACTCTTCTTCCAATTGATGGCACTTCTTTCCTTCTCATTTATGGTCTTCCTTCAAATCTTACTTTCCTTCAGCTGTTTTCTTTTCTTATGTTTCTGCTCTTCTTTTTCATCTTCATTTCTTGAAATATTCTTCTCATCAGACCTAACCCTATCAATAACAGCTATAAAGAAACCATTTGTAAGATCAATGTCTGGTTTCGTATAGATACATCTAGGGCCCCATTCAAAATCTTCAGAACCATGATGAATCCATTTACATTTGAGTTTATTATCAACAACTTCAAAAATGGGATCTGAAGCATCAGTATTCACGGAGGCTAGAACATCCTCTACCACCATCTCATTCTCTTCAATGTTAAGGGAGCATGTCGAGTAAACAATTCGCTTTACATCAGGGAATCTGGTGAGGGCGTGACGTAGCAGCTTGCTCTGTAAACGAGTCAGTGACTGTAGTCGTGAAGCATTGAATTTTTCTCTATTCTTTACTATGGGTTGCTCAACTGCACCTGTAATATAAGCATTACTATGTAAAACATACACTTACAGCATCTAACTGCTGCCTTTTCATAAGAAAAGTGAGGACAAAGATATGCTTGTACATTTGTATGCAAAAGAAATGCATAGAATTTTGGTTGTAAAACTTAAAGGGAACAGACTATTTGGAAGACCTAGGCAGAGATGGGAGACAGCATTAAAACGAAACTTAAGGAAAACTGTTGTGAGAGTGATGACTGGATTCATTTGGCTCAAGATATGGGTCAATGGCAGGCCTCTTTGAATATGACACTGAACCTTCAGATTCCACAAAAGCAGGTCTTGAAGACTTAGTTAGTTATGCAAAGAAACAGATGTATTAACTCCTGCTCGTTAGTGCACCAGGTTTAAACTGAATTACATGTTCTATTCTGTATATGTTAGCATGCTAATTTCTATGCAAGTGAATCAAAGAGAGTTAGTATATTCTCACACAACCACTACTGCGCCCAAAATCATAATTAAGCTCTTTATCTGAATGTTTAGCTCATAAACTGCAGGATTTTATATTCTGAATATTTATATAGTTGTCACGAAAAAAAAAAAAACGTTTGTAATATGACAGAATGTACAAATTTCTCTTTCCACTCAGACGTGTTAGATTCAATATATGAGCAACACACACTCCTCTTTGTCTCTCTGGAAATGAGATTAATGCTATAATTTACCTGAACCAGAGCAGGTGGGATCAACCAGGATGTACTCAACACCTGGGCAGTGCTTTGCCTCAAGCTGGAAGGCATCCATGCAGAGAGTTTTCACACATGTAGCACCATGCTTCTCCACCTGCTTGCAAAGCGTCTCATAACGACCTCTAACTGAATCCACTGCATACAGTGTGCTACAGGCATCCACAAAATTAACAGTCTAGTTAACACAATGAACAAAGGATTTGCACCATACATAGCAAACAGGAAGAATGGATTTACATGTTGAGGTGTGAAGGAACAAAGATTCAGGAACGAAGAGATTTAAGACTAGTGATGCAAAAATAAGTATTAGGAGAGTAGGAAGATACAAGAACAGCATACACTGGCAGAAAATAAGATAAATTACTGGATATAACGATCAATTGAAGAGGATCATTGAAAAATAAAATAAAATAACCCATGGGCTTTGCATCTGGCAGGTTAAATTGTGGCCCTGTGTTTTTAGTAAATGGGTATGCCTTGGGTTTCTTGTCGCCCACTGTCCAGTCTTCCCACCCATCAACATGCAACAACACTTGTTTCACTCTCACTCGTCGCTCGATTCTTCACTTGCAGTTTCCCCTTCAATTTCCAAATCCAGCTCATTATCAGAGTCAATATTGAGTTCTTCACTTAACATATCACTACTAGATTCTTCATCCGCATCACACAAGGGTTATATATCAGTTTCTTCAATCCAGACGACTGAGATTCGGCTGAATGTAAAGGCATGCTACTGACATGTGACACGCCGTAATATATATATGGCATCTGTTCCTCAAAAAGTTCAAGTAATGACTTCCAGATGGCAGGAGCAGGCAGAAAGAACATGCATATGAATGTGTTGGCACAGAATACAGTTGCCACTAGTGACACATGATCAACATATGACTGAAGAAAAGTGAAAGAAAATTTGTCGATCATATATCAACATTCGTCCATGGAAGCAGTCAAAATGTCAATTATATATCAACACATGACCAGAAATGGCTAAAATGATTCACATAACCAAAGAGGACCCACGGAGTGACTCACTTCTAAAGCTTAAATGCCAATATCAACATATTAAAGCGGAAAGTAGTACAATAATTACAGAAAATGTTACATCAAATAAGAAAAGAAAGAAATATTTACTTCCTATTTTAAGAGGTGTCTGTGTCTGCCTCCAGGAACTGAGGAATTTCATCATAAATTCCAGGTCACCTTATTCATAATTAAACAAACATACACCCTCCTGGGAAAATGGTTACATAAGAACAGGTGCTAAAACTGCTGATTCAGTCTGAACAAGAAAGATGATGTGTAGAAAACAAGAGTGAAAAGGTCTAATGTATTTCAGTCTACAATTTCCATCTGAAGTTCATAAATTAGTTCAGCAGATATCAGCTGTAACATTAAGTGAAGTATCTCGAAGAAAGTGAAGAGTATTAATAGATATCTAGACATATGTATTATATTCAATTCTACTTTTGCACATAAGAGTTCAGAACACATAGATTATTAAACAATTAAAAAAAACATCATGAATAGCCTGAAGTGAAAAATAAATCCCGTGAGTAAATACAACACTTTTGTGAGGACTGTTGGCATTGACTCCATTAAAATCCACCACATGGCTTGGTACAAGGAACAAAATGAATAATACAGATCTGGTCAGGCATAATCAAAATCACATACTTCAGAGCTCTTGAGAAACTGGCCAAGAAATAGCCTCCCCCCCACCAATTGATGGAACTCCCCAAGCTTCACTACAATGTAGTGAATAGGATATCCTATCTCTATCCTGAGCCAGACGAGTCCACTGTACATTGATTTCAAGGGCATAAAAGATCAGTGATTATGATATGTTTCATAATAGCAGTGCACTGCATAAGGAGAATAATGAGAGCTTTAATAGAAGACAAGAGTGATGAAACTGATTAAATTACCCTTTGTTCTTCATGAGGCATGCAAGATGTGTAGTTTTCATCCCTGGAGCTGCACACATGTCCAGAGTAATACTCCCTGGTGAAGGTTTGAGAAGCCATGATGCCAGACAACTAGCCTGAAAAATGCAATGCAAATGGATTGCATTCTACATTTATACTTATAAAACAATCTGTATATGTAAACCATCTCTGGACATCCTCCTAAGCTAATTCCATAGGTCTCCAGTCCTCTCAGTCAATTTTACCATGATCCATTGTAACCCTTTCAAGGCCATGGTTCCATATGCGCCATCCACTTTAACATACTAAACCTCTTATCAGCATTCTGCTGGCAGAATGTATTTGTTTTGTATGGTTCTCATAACAAACAGCTGCTCTTTGAAATGTAGACATGACATGATTTTTTTATATTATTTAGAAAGCAAACAGTCATTAAAAGGCTAGTGTTACAGTCCATTCTCCTTCATATTTCAAATTACTGCTTTTCCAGATGTTTACTCCCTAAAAGTCTGCATGCCTTTCATATCTCCCCATTCAAGCTACATTTCCACCCCATCCTATCTGAATTAGTCTCATCACCCTAATAATATTAAGCAACCTATGAAAATTAGGTTTTCATCAGGTAATATTCTAAACACCCTCAGCATCTTTATCCACAGTCACAGTCAGCTTATCCCACTTACTCATAAATTATCACTTCTCGTAATTCAGGAGCATTACAGTATCACGACAGTCTACTGGTTGTGATTTGGCAGGTCAGTGTCAAGACTAATCTCATTAAACAGATTGCAAACTAATGCAAACACTCTGTCTCAAACTTTAATCTAATGACAATGAAACATGAGTCTCCTAAAAATATAAAAAATGTATGCATAGCATCAACATTTTGGTGTATTTGTTCCTTTTGTTTAATTATCTTGGAAATTAAGATTTATGAGAAAAGTACAGAGTACAGAATGTGCTTCATTTCTCTCTATATTTGCTCAATACACTTCCCACTGATAGTAATTAATGCTCTAGATGTGTGCAAAACTGCATGCAAATCTTCATATAAAGTATCTGTTACTGTCCAATATTAACCAGACTTAGAAGGTCTCTACAAAATTCAACATAATTCCAAATTAATAGCAAGCATAAAAATCCGTTCTTTGATTCTGAAGTTGTTACTGCTGATATCCAGACAGAAAGGGTGATGCTAATAAATGTATTTATGAAATTTTCTGTTGGGAATGCACAAAAAATTAACACCTTTAAAAAATATTTAATACTAACTTTGTCTTGCAGAATGATGGAGCCTCCTATATACAATGGATGTCTATAAAATTCTGTCTTATTTGGAAAAATAAACAGTTCTTTAATATGCAAGTCCTGAATAAACTCATCCCTTGCCAATGAAGTAACCCTGTTGAGAAAAGATGAGTAGTCTTCTGATTTCCGGTCGTAACAAACTTGTTTCCAGTCTTCATTACTAAACATTTTCATGGCAGCACGAACTTTAAGACTTAAGGTGTTGACTCTAACATATCGTGGTCTGCTGTCTAAAACACAATGGAAAATGAAATATAAGTAAAGTCATAAAGTACGTTCCATTCAGTTATCATGTTTTTGCAAAATGAAATACATGTATAAAGCCTGGTCTCTTCACTACATTATGACATCTTGTATTCTCAAGATCTAAAGCTCACAACCGTGGCTAAAGAATTTTTTAGGGCCCAGGAGTGAGGATAATACTGATTTGTAATGCAAAATATTATGTAGTTTAATCCATTCTGGCTAATGCACCATTCATTACAAATAAATGCTGTAAAAAGAAATCATTTTCTACCTGCATAGGTTTTATATCATAAGACATGGTTGTGGCCTATCTGAAGGTATCCTGGAATCTAAGTTGAGAAACTGAGGAAAAGCACAAAAAAAAACTCCAGGCCAATATTTCATTCAGCTACCTCACAAACAGAAGTCTTAGAAAATGCCACTCCACCAAACTCCTCAGTCTGAACAAATGCATCAGTTGTGCAGCACTAAATACAGCAATAATATGAGGATCAATGTGAACTGCGAAATGGACAACAAAGAAGGAAACGGCATAATACCATTTTGCTATTTATCTAGAACAGCTAAAGAACGCTTGTCAGCAGACATAGGTGTAAACAGCTATGAAAATTATTTTGCACAGCCCAAACCAACAGTTAAGTCTTCATTTTTCTGCTCCTTGCTAGCCTTCTTCCCTTCTTACACACCGATATCTTATATTCAGATAACTACATATTGTGACTTGCCACCAGAAAGCCGGAATGTTTGAGATCAGAGTTGATTTCCTAGGAAATGACCAATGGTCCCACGACAGCAGCTAGGCAGCAGAACGCTAGCAGTTCCTAACAGTGGAGTTTCCACCATTACACATGAATTGTTGAAGCAACGTTTCGATAGCAGCGAGCAGAAGGAACCCTTCGAGACTGTATTCCCTATCAAGTCCGCGCGGAAGTTATAACAGTTCAACTGCGACAAGACATGAGTTCAGTTTGCATTTGACCTTTCTTTTTATTGCTAGTGGGGTGGGACTAAGTCCCTTGTACTGTGGCCACTTCTGGCCTATTGTACCAGCCCCAGATGATAGGTGAGGGTGACTGTGGAGCAATTGGTGGAATGAAGATCGGCAGAAGAAAACTCGGAGAAAACCTGCCCCAGTGCCACTATGTCCACCACAAATCCCACTTGACCAGACCCGGGATCGAACCCAGGCCGCCAGCAACTAACCACTTGAGCTATGGCATGGCCCTGCACATGGCCTTAGAAGAGTAGCCAGTGTTCAGTTTGGCTTCGACGATAGCAGAAGCAGCAATTGTGACACTGAAATTGTGAATAATTGTACTTGCAAGTGTAGAGGAGATTGGCCAATAAACATGTTCGCCAAATCCAAGACCCACGTGAATTTTCTTGTCATGTTACCTACGAAACACGTGACAACATTAATCCAAGAATGTTTGTTCTGTACTGTTTTTTCATAATTCCCTATTAGTAACGCCACATGAGAGGGCTTGAAGTGCTGTGGAATCCATTGAATCCAGCATATGTAATTCTTCTGTCAATATGTTACACAAAATGTTCACTGCCAAAGTTACTGCATTAATTTTCACTCTCCATTCTCATTTTGATGAACTCATGAAAGCTGTATATTTTGTGAATTAGGAAATTTTGTATTTATAGTAATTAGTTTTTGTACACACATGTGCTACATACCAGAGTTGCCTTTATGGTTTTGTAAGTTTTCAAATTTAATTTTTTGACAGTGTGTTAGGAATTCAGTGTGATACTGGTTCAGGTCATACTGAAAATCTTCAGCAAATGACAGTGAAGTGGAATAAAATAAAGTCTAGTGATATCAGTGGAGTTGCAGCTTCACTTCTACAATTCATAGGAAAACAGGTAACTATTATGTAAACTATAGACATAATTCCATACACCACACCATGGATGTATGACAAGTATCCAGCTATGTATATTTGTTTCACTAGTAACAAATACAAAATACCAAATAACATAAAATTCTATTGGAAACAAAAAAGCACATGAGATATATTTTGAGGTCTTTCACAGTGGGGTAAACTTAGATTGTGGTGTTCTGGGTTGCGACACTGTGAAGTCTGGCAGGTCGTTTTACCAGCATTTCAGAGGAACACAGTGTTTCCATCATCAAAACATACAGACAACCACACACAAGACTACATGGTACCACAACACATAAGATCACATTCTAAGTATCTGCATAGAACAAATTCTTATTTTAATAAAACCAACTATCCACATTAATTTCTGAAACAATAGTGCTCTTTCAAACAAACGAACCATAAGAACATCTGACACATCACCTGAAAACTATGGCATGTTTTTGTTACAATATATATACTTATACTAGCATATAGTTTCTCACATAACAGACTAAAAAAAATTGATCATACAGAACACTACTTTATGCTTTCAAACAATGCAAAGGCATCTTTACAGTGCTATTAAAATTGATTCCTGATGTTTCCAAGCACATATTTTCAGATCTCATAAGTGTTCCACTAGAAATTAAATTGATGCAACACCAAAATTTCAATTGCAGCCAAATTCATTAAAAGAATGTGGCCAAATCATGCTGTAATAACAATACTCATTAACAGTAAAATCTGGTAAAGTAAAAATTATTTTTCGTTAATCTTTCACATTACAAGTCTCTTGTGCGCAGTCATATTAACAATTTATGTCATATATACTCAGCATCCTAGAGTACCACCAGAAACATCATGGCAGTGGCACAGAATTCACAAGTGGCAATGACCTGGCCAACATTTGGCGGCTGTCTGTTGCTGTTCCTCATATTGAACACTGTTACAAGGGATCACCAATCCTGGTGAGATTGTAGTGACAACAATATAACTACCTCACCCATACTTCAACTGCTTTTATTATATGATATCGTAACAGTAACTGTGGCTTTAGTAAAATTTTATAGTACTTTAATCTATAAAAAATGTGATATTTTACACATACCATTCTTGTTACAATGCGTATTAAAATTTAGAAGCTTGCATGAAGGTGAGTTTTACCAAAGCTGCTCTGCTTACTAAGCCATATACACAAGAGATTATATTGCTGTAAATGCCTATGATTGTCAGATGGTTTGAATCATATTTATGTAATACATGTTTACAAAATTAAGTGCATTTCTAATATATCTATAATATACAGGAATTTATAAATTAGTAAAGTTGCCCCTTCATCAATTAAGCACAAAGCCATAAACACATATAAGGGAGTAGGGATATAGCTCCATGCATAGTTAAACTTGGCACTAGATGGAAGTAGGTGATCAGCTTCACACTCTGTTTTACCTCGTGTAAAGACACCCTGCTTTCCATGGTCCAAATGAATAGGAGACTGGGTGGACCCCAGAGTCAATCTCAACACTTAATGAGAGAAAAATCTCCCGCTCGTGCTCAGTCATCTATCCTAGAGCCTAGCTACTATACCAACTGAGCTATCTACTAAGCTATGCCACAGAAATAATACAATTTTACCTGTGGCAAGACCAACAGACTGTGAAGTGCTCAGTCTGATAATAGAGACAGTCCAGAGGACAGCAAAGTTTTCAGTTTTTGCATGTCAATATACAACAACATGAGAGGCTAAAACTATTTTAATTTCAAGGTCTTTTATTCTTCAACAATTTACAAGTCTGCAGATTTATTAAAACTGTTGACAATCTTGTTTAGTAAGGAACATCATAATGCATCAAGCCAAATGAAAATGAAGGACCAGCCACAATAACACGTGACAATACTTTTCAATCTGCTTTTAGGTTAAGATCAGTCTTGCGTTGCTGCTGGTTGCTCTCTTGCTCAGTGGATTCCATTTCCTCGTAGTAACCCTTGCAAGCATACAACACAATAATTGTGTTCACCACCACTACAGCTGCCAGTACAGACCAAACTGTGTTGGCAAAACCTTCAATGCCAAAATATTTCAGTCCATATTTCGTTCCAACATAAGCCACAAAAGGTAAGGTAAACATTGCAATGCTGTAAAGTAGGAAATAAGCTAGCACCCATCCTGTTTCTATCGTTCTGTTGCAAAATGAAGCTGGGTGTGGCAGTGTTGGTTCTTCTGGGCCATTTGATCCATCCAGCGAATCTCTCCTCCTTACTTCTGATTCCATTACTTTTTTCAGCAAGGCAAAACTATATCTGTAAAAATGCAGAATGAAAAATAATTTAGAATAATTTTCACATTACCTCTCTCCTTATAAGAGTCCAATTTGAGTGTTCCTGCCTTCTCTGACTCTTTCAGTTCTGCAAGGAACATGTCATGATGAGACAAAACAGCTTGTACAGGCTTGCTGTCTCCACTGAGAGACTTCTTGCCAAACAGAAGCTCTGTTATTAATATTTTAATAAGCCATGGATCTGCTTTCCTGTCCTTAAGAATTTTGCTTTTCTGTATGAGCCTCTCCAATGTATCTTCATGATGAAATGTTTTAATTATTAATGCATATAACCCCTGGATATTCTGGAAAGAAAAGAAGCCAAAATTTCAGTTTGGTCTTCCATCTGAAGTTGTTAAATGCTGAAAACTAATAAAGATTCAATGATATTTCAGCCATAATACAAGGTTACTATAAAATAAATAGACATTTTCAACGTTTTATAGAATCTAAAGTATCCCACCACCTTTGGGGGTTGCATCTATACTGAAGATGGATGCAGTAAAACATTGGTAAACTTCTACTGAACTACATGGTGTCACATCCCAGATCACAGTAATGTTTATAGTTACTGCAAAGAAAATCTCAAATCTCACTCAAAAAATGTTGTAATGATATATTATCAAGAGTTTCCATTCTGTACTGCAATTACAGAGCATTTGCAACTGCTTGGTGACAGTCACATCTTCGTAGGCCTAGCCTGACAGCTTTTTCATTGCAAGATGGGATCACACTTGCAATGTATGCTTGCTTTCATAAACTGAATGCAAAGCCACCTCAAGACTGAAGTACACGGTTTGTTCCTAAGTTGAAGGTTGTGGGCACTGCATTCTTGACAACAGAAGAGGTGTTTTCTATGGGATTCGTTTATATCCAGTGCTAGGTAGTCACTCACTCATGGAGCTGAGCACTTCTTGAGAAGCTGCAAACTGGGCAGCTACTCAAGAACTTCCCAGAATTTTATGGAACCCAAAGGTTCATTACCATGTTCACAAAAGCCCTCCACTTGTCCCTATCCTCATCCAGATCAGCCCAATCCATACCATCCCATCCTGTCTTTCTAAGATCCATTTTAATATTGTCCACCCACTCACATCTTGGACTTCCCAGTGGCCTCCTTCCTTCCAGCTTTCCCACAAATATTCTATATGCATTCCTCTTCTCCCCATTTGTGCTACATGCCCTGCCCACCTCATCCTCCTTGGCTTGATCATTCTAATTATACTTGGAGAAGAGGACAAGTTATGAAGCTCATTATGCAGTTCTCTCCTACCTCCTGTCACTTCATCTCCCTTTGGTCCAAATATTCTCCTCAACACTCTGTTCTCAAACACACTCAGTGTATGTTCCTCCCTTCATTTCATTCATTGTTGGAGGAGGTGGGTTTCCCCATGCACTTAGACCAGTTATTGGTCCATTGTGCATCCCCCTTTAATTTCTACTGTCTCCATACCCTACCGGTACTGGTGCCCATTATCAGCCCCTTTCTGCCAGTGAACTCGGCCCTCTGTTGGCAGTGGTATCTGATAATTAGTCCCTTTCTGTCAGCGAGGTCGGTCCTCATCTGGCAGAGGTACGTAATACTTTCCCCATCTACCAGAGGCATTGGAAACTACTTGGGTGGGAAACTTTGCCTAATTTAGCTCAGAGGTCTCCTAGAGACATGAGGTTCTTTTACGTGCCGTAAATCTATGACACGGGACCCACGGCTTAAAGTCCCTCCCGGAGGACTTGTTCCCTGAATTTTTTCCGCCGGGTTTGAACCCACGTACCTTGAGTCATGAGGTAGGAACATTTCCCCTAGACTACGGAGGCCGCTTATGTTCCTCCCTTAATGTCAGAGAACAAGTTTCACAGCCATACAGTACCACAGGCAAAATTATAGTTTTGTATATTCAAATTTTTATGTTTTTAGACAGCAGATGAGAAGAAAAAAGGTTCTGGACTAAATAGTAATAAGCATTACCCGAGTCAAATCTCCTCTTAATTTCCTCCTGAATCAGATTTTGATTTGTTATAGTCATTCCCAAATATATGAACTGTGCCACATTTTCAAAACATCTGTTACCTATTTTTATGTCCTGATATTGCCCTGCATTTTGGTAACGAGATAGCAACATATCTTTAGTTTTCTCTGTGTTTACTTCTAGACGAATCTCCTTACTAGAGTCAATTAAAGTTTGCGTAGTTCGCTTGTGGACTAAAATTATGGAGTGTTTTTCTTTACGTTATCTTCCACTGCTAGGTAACAGGAAAATAAATATGCATTCTTAACAACAGAATAAAATGTTTTCCATGGGGTCCATGCCAAGGGGTTATCACGAGGACAACTGACACTACAGCAGTCAGTTGTTGAGCTGGAGTCAGTTGAGTTCAACTGAGTTGAGCCCTTCAAGGGAAGCTGAGAACAGATGGCGCTATAGTAGTCAGTTCAGTTGAGGGTTCAACTGCGGAATGTTAACCAGTGGGCAACAGAAGAAGAAGAATCTCCATTGCTAAGATTTATTACCAGAAAACGTCTAGTGAAGACACTGCAGAGGAATAGCCATTGCGGAGAGCTGTTACCAAATAAAGACTAGTGGAAATAGACTGAGAAAACTTAGCATGGAAATCAGCAACAGTGTAATAATTATTTTTAGTTACGTGTAAGTGGTCAATAAATCTATTCACCAATCCAAACCCTGTAGTCACTAATACAAGTGACAAAATTTAAGCATGATGACAGTAACAAAAAGATCAAGAAAGACGTAGTAACGGATTTTTAACATGAAAAGATGTCATTACACAAGGACAAACGGGGACTTTCCACTGGTGGATTTGGGTCACATGCCACAAAAAAAGGACACAAATGTCAATTTGTAAAATTAACTATTTCTGAAAAATGAATTTTGGAAAACCAAAACTGCTAACAATTCATAATAACAGAGCCCACTCCTCATGCTAACAATTGTTAAAATTATGAGGGAGGGTTCTGTTCAAATCACTGGCAGGAGGCCACTTAGACTGGAAAAGTTGTATATGTATGTGACTTGTTCGAGAGTTACAATTTGTAACTGTGATGAATGTTAAATAAAATTATTATCATCTTCATCTTGACCTCGGAAAGCAGTCACAGTAGGTGAAATTTATGTAGCGTTTAGGGTGTTTATTCACTAATGGGAATACTGGTCCTTAGTCCAAGCATATCTTGTCCAAAGCCCCACTTTTGCTCTGACCTTAAGTTATTTAAATGTTTACAATATTATATTTAAGTATCCTGTTGTACTCCATACGATACATGATACAAACTCCGTCTTCAGTGCAAACCATATATTACAGGTCTTTCGCTTTGCTCTCCCTTACACACTACATGTTTCGGCCACAAATGGCCATCATCAGGTGTATTACTCACGTATCTGTCACACTGCACTTAGTTTAATATTTAAAATTTAAAAACACAGGTCTTCCTGATTGTTCCTTTCGTCGTTATTACCAAAATCTACTTCGTTGATATCTTTGTTATTTACACATGTCAAGCAGCGGCATGCATACAGAGAGACTACACAGTACACAGTACACTACCGGTACAGTACTAGAAACAAGAAGTAACCGCTGCAGCACTATAGGCATAGGGCGAGTAACCCTGACATTTTTAAAATTTTAAAATTTAGAGGAAAATTGAAAAGATTTTAAAATTAGAACTGAAGATGTTATAAGTGCTAATTCAGAGAAATCAAAATTGACGTGTGTAAATAACAAAGACATCAACGAAGTAGATTTTGGTAATAACGACGAACGGAACAATCAGGAAGACCTGTGTTTTTAAATTTTAAATATTAAACTAAGTGCAGTGTGACAGATACGTGAGTAATACACCTGATGATGGCCGTTTGTGGCCGAAACATGTAGTGTGTAGGGGAGAGCAAAACGAAAGGTATATAATATATGGTTTGCACTGAAGACGGAGTTTGTATCACGTATTACTTAAATGTAATTGTCACGTGCATTAGGTTNACTCTAAATTTGACAACTTTAAAAATGACATAAATATTGTATTTGAAGCCTTAAACAGATGGTTCAAAGCCAATTTACTCTCATTAAATTTTGATAAAACCCATTACATATCATTCACAACTAAAAACAACCACCAAATTGATCTGGACATCAGTTATGCCAACAAATTAATCTGTAAAGTACCTGATACAAAATTCCTTGGAATACATGTAGACAGTACACTGTCTTGGAAAATACATATTAAATACAATACATAAACCCACACATGTTGACGGACGTATCTACTTAATTCCGAGCGCACAGAAACTCTTAGTCTTTTTCCTTGGATCCTGAACCCTCCGCAAGTGGTTCGTCCGTAATGTCAGGGCAGTAATGAGCGACTGGGGGGGTTCACTTACCAGGTGCTTGTTTGCATTGAACACCAAATCCTTTAGACTATGATGTTCTTCCGAGGCCCGTTTCGCGATATTAGCAGCTGTTTTGTAAAACTGTGGTACTTTAACTGAATGCTGTAATTTAACTTGGGTTGGCTGCTGTCCAGCCATATTACATTAACCTCTAACCAAAGAGATAGAAGACTCCTTCACAACCTTCACAACAATGCTTTGACTGTTAAGCTACCAACTTCACTAGTCACGTGCTTACTTTAAAATCTAATCTTAGTTTGATATTAAAAGCAATTAAATATGAATATATATCGAATATATATATATATACACATATCAGTTTCTATGAAAGTCAAGTAATAAATCTGTAGACACAGTTAGAGAACAGCACCTTAAACCATTTTGTATAGAAGATGTTGGTATTCATGTGTAATGAATCAGCTGTGATGGCCGAATGTTGATATTGCGTGTAACATATCTGTTTATTTTCATGAATTTGGTTAGTAAACAACTTCATTTACTTGATTTGCTATTGAACTTAATTAATTATTTCATCAGAATATATTGATAATAGAAATATTAAGATTGTTAAGATAACAGAATTTAGGAAAAGTAATTTTTACTTAAGGTGTATAAGCCATATATTGTCAATTTGCTGAAATTGTAGTACATAGGTCTGTTTATATCATTTATTTATATTTTCAGTTTTCCGAGATGTGAAGTACTTATTTTCAATAATACATCATTAGACCAGGTGTCGGATATATCTGATTAATCAGCATGGTTCACATACCAAGTACCTACACCTACGACTTTTGGTTGCGGGGTTCATCAGACCCATTCGTGGAACTGAGCTGCCTGATGCCAAATGGAATTATCATTCCTCTTGCTGTTAAGAAAAATGCCACGATTCAGGAAATTAAAGAGGTAAGCTAATTATATAGGAGTTTCCTTTTATGAAATTGAAATGAATAATACATTGTTATGAATAACTGTTCCATGTTGAGTCTCAGTTTCCCAACTCTTTTTTATTATTCACATGTAATTTTTGTGTTACGTTTAACGAAATAACTTTATTTATATTTTCAGAAGTTTTAAATTGAATGCCCTATGAACCATTAATTTGCTGACAGAAGAGTAGACTGTCATACGGAATTATGTTGAAATTAAATTATTTGGAAGTTACATTACACATACCAAAAGCTAAAATGAAGGAACGAGATGACCAACAAAATAATTTGCATTTTTGTAAAGGCTTTAATAAAAGGTGGGGGCACACAGTAGCATAGTTGGTTGAGGCACTATGCTACAAGCCGGAAGGTCGCGGGTTCAAGTCCCAGTGAGGTCATTTGATTTTTTTCAATTGACCTAATCCTTCTGGCCACACTATGGCCATGGATTTGACTCAGCCTCTAACAGAAATGAATACCAGGAATATTCTTGGAGGTAAAGGGCGGCTGGTGCGTAGGGCTGACAACCTTGCTGCCATCTATGAGCCAGTTTTCTAGAAAATGTGGAAACCTCAACATCTCACAACCCTATGGGCCTCCTTGGCCTGTTACAGGAATACCTTTACTTTACTTGCTTTTTATTAATAAAAGGCACCAAAATGAATGAATAAGCTGTAAAATCATTCATTTCACTATTGCTGCTAGGAAGTATAGCAGAGAAACCTTTCTTATTTCGTTTTTGTGTTTGGGTCTGGTAATTATCACTAGTGTGTTGTGTTTTCATATGAAGTCTATCCCTTTTACCAGTTGTTTTGTGTGGTGTGAAGAGTGGTCTCTCACAATAAGAAAATAATGTAGACTGATGGTACTAAGGATAAAAGTCTGGAAAGAAAGTTTGAGCATGAAAGAAAGGAAATAACAGAAGGCTGGAAAATAATACATAATGAGGAGCTTCATAGTCTGTATTCATCAGCAAATATTATCATTATCAACTAAAGGAAGAACAGACAGGCAGGATGTATATATTGCATGGGGCAGATGAGAAATATAAAACTTCATTTTGAAAAATCTAACAGGAAGGAATCATTTGGAAGATCTTGAAAGACAATATGAATTTAGTTGTTAGTGTAGCTGTGGAATGTATTCAACTATCAGAGGATAAAGTCTAGTGGCAGACAGTTGTTAACACCATAATCACATCCGTAAAAGGCACAGAATTACTTACTCAACTCATTGACTCTCAGCTTCTCAAGAAGGTGTCTTGGAGATATTTATTGTTTCACTTCGCTAAAGAGAGTGATAGGATATCAAACATTGATGCTTTTTGACAGGATCTCTGGGAAGAGGCTAGTAAATATCCCCTCCATGGAATGCTGCACGACTCGTCCACATATGTGTTTGCCTGTATCAACTCTATGGCAGAAAGAGAAGACCTGCTTGATGAAAGTAGGCACTTATCAGACGTCCGACCGTTTTGCGCGGTTCTTCGTCTTATTGAACGCAAAGGGGACAAAGCTGAAAACACTCTTAACATACAGATAAGCCATCTTATTGGCAAAGGTATGTATGTGCATAAATTACACAAACTGTAAATAAGTACATAAAAAGAAATGTCAGAACAGATGTGTTTGTCTAGTTAGTTAGTTAGTTAGTTAGTTAGTTAGTTAGTTATTGGAGAGGGTGGGTTTCCCCATGCACTGAGACCAGTATTGGTCCATTGTGCTTCCCTCTATGATATTCTCCCAGTCTCTATACCCTACCAATATTGGTGCGTACCATCAGTCCCGAGTTCGGCCTCTACTGGCTTGGTGGTATCTATAATGCTTCCCCCCTCTATCAGAGGCATTAGAGACTACTGTTGGGCGGGAAATGTCCTTGAATTTAGCTCAGTGACCTCCTTTGGAGATATGAGGTTCTTTTACATGTCGTAAAGCTACGACACGGGACCCATGGCTTATAGTCCCTCCCGGAGGACTTGTTCCCTGAATTTTTCTGCCCTTAAAAATTCCACGACCTCTGCCGGGTTTGAACCTGCGTACCACAAGTCTGAGGTGGGAACGTTACCTCTAGACTACGGAGGCCTCTTGTGTTTGTCTAACATTGATATATAATTTTCTCCAGTGAGGTGCTTAAAATTGCTACTAGTATAAGTTGTCCAGTACAAATTTCTCCAGCATTGTTAAATGTGATAATTTAACCCATTCACTGTTAACCTAGAAGCTGAATTGTTTAATGTTGTTTTATAAGTGAGAATGGTGATAAATGTCACTAAACATTTTTTGTATTTATTTTCTTCCCTCTAGCATGTCCATAAGAGTATTCAGCGTTGGATTTCTGTTCAGACATTGTGCAAAGAAATGTTTTTATCCTGTATGCCAACTACAAGACACTGTCTTGGCTACTAGGGAAAATTTGTTATTCCTGATTATATAAGTTTAACGCAAGAAATTTGGCCTTTGCATTAGAGTGAGAATTTGTGTTATGGGCTCTTGGGTTTTGACACCATGTAGTCTTGAAGGTGGTTACCAGAATTTTGGGGGAATATGAAGCTTTGTCCATTTTTTAGATCAATGCTTTCATTCTTTAATGCTAATTTTAATTTCAGGAATTTAATATATTTAAGGTATCAATTGAAATAAACGTACTTCTCTTTATGACTATGGACTTTGTACAAGTTTTGCATAGTCACAGTTAGACAGATGTTGTTATTGTGTTTTCCACTATAATGATAACCTTATAACAGCTTCTATTGCTTGTTTTCCTGTATGATGAATTTCATCAGCAGAATGAGTAAGCATTTAACCAATTTTTTTATCATGTTTCTCACTGCCCTTGCCGTTATATGTTAGGAACTTTATATTTCCCTTTGAATTTAAACAATATTGTTAGATTTAAAAATGAAGATCAGATTTTAAGTGATGAAGGGAAATGAGGTGGGAAGGGCATGTAACATACATGGTATGAATGAGAGATGCATTTTTGGCAAAAAAAAGTCTGAGGGGAAGGGACCACCAGGAAGATCTGGACATAGATGTGAGGGTAACATTCAGATAGGTCTTATAGAAATAGGGTGGAAGGGTGTGGAATGAATTCATTTATCTCAGGATAGGGAATAGTGAGAGGCTGTTATGAGCAAGTAATTAACCTTTTGGCTTCATACAAAGTGGGGAATTTCTTGAAGAGCTGGTATTTTCTCAAGAAATGCTGTGTCTCCTCAAGTTACTTAGTTAGATACTGAGTTTTAAAAACACAACTAAAGAACTGATATATTAGACCTCAGTTTCTGAATTCATTAAAATGATTAAGCAGATGGATGTTGTTTGAAATTAAATGAAAATATTACAGGTGTTTGTATCAGTGTTGCTGTAAATGTATAATCCTGTAGGTCTTCATGAGTTTGACTCACTAAAGAATCCAGAAGTGAATGACTTTCGGTGGAAAATGCGACTTCTGGGTGATGAGATGGCAAGAGAGAGGCAAAACAAGCCATGGATAGAGAAGATGTGTTACCAGTTCCCCCCACGACTTGCAGCCACTCCAGTTCTTTCTCCAGTTATCAGCTCCCGACTACGTGATGGCCATTTTGTGCTTGTTACAAAGTTTGAGAACACGGAGGTATATTATTATTATTATTATTATCATCATCATCATCATCATCATATAGAAAATAGTTTAAACCAGGCACCAGGAATCTCTTGTAAAATGGCCTCCACACCCACATCTCTTCCCTACACTAGCAGGCGCTAGATGGCCTTCTATATCCATATGCAATATCATACATTTACAGTGTACAAAATATTAACGAGAATGCTTAAAATGATGTCCTAACAATATTTACTGTAAAATTCTTGGCTTTGTTTATTTCTTCAGATTTTCTCATCACATTCATTTATTGAACCACAAATATGGAGACATCTTTTTGAAATATTTTTCAGTCAGACAAGGAGCCAGGATAATGTAGTCAATATAACAACTGGCTACATGTGGTTGGCCAAGGGATTGGAGTTCGAGCCAGGGTAGGGGCAAGATTTAACTCCTCTCCTTGTTGTCCAGACCAGCCCTGGGGCCCACCCAGCCTCCTATACAGTGGGTACTGGGGGCTCTTTCCCTGGGGTAAAGTCTCCAAAGCACAAAGCTGAGCACTCTCATCCAACTAATGCCGAGGTCAAGAATACGTGGATCTATACATCCACTCCCCGATATGTCCACATGGTCTAGTGCTTAATTAGTTAAATACAGAGAAAACTTTGCCTACCAGTCAAACATTCTCATGACTATGTTATGATTGGTCCATGTTTGGTTTAAGTAAACGTATCATTCCAACTTAGAGAAATCTATCATTGTGTAATAATATGTTTAATAGCACTTCATGATTGTTAGTTAGTAGAATTGAATTAGGACTCATAAAATGTAGTTATATTATTGTGTCTACTTCACTTTGTAGCATTGCTCTGTAGTTCTGCATTGTGAAGTCCTATACTCTTGTGTTATTTTGAGAATATTCAGTAAATAAACGTTAATTAGTAAATGTTTTACTTGCAGACAACTTTCACATTTAACGTTCACTACACAATGACACCACAGGAACTTCTTCGGACAATTCTGAATAAGAAGGCTATCACCCTCAATTCTCGTGGCGAACACCCTGCTGATTTTGTTCTGAAAGTGTGTGGGCAAGAAGAATATCTAATAGGAAATTTTCCATTGACGCAGTTCCAGTATGTGCAGGACATGCTGGCAAGAGATGGTGTACCCACACTAGTTACTGTCTCTGTTAACAGTGTCTTAGGTAAAGACAGATTTATCCTGTTGTATTATAAGTTACAATCACTCTTGCCCTCCTCCATTTTGTTTATTTGCTTTATATATAAATGTCCATAGAGATGATTAAGTATCGGAACTACTTTCCTTTTATAGTCCTTTGGTGAAACAGTCCTGGCATATAACTTGATAACAGGACAGGAAAATTTCTGATTTTGTGTTGTTCTTATTTATATTTCTAGTGGATGTGGACAATGTGTATGAAAACCCAGAGGATGAAATTAAACATACTCGTCCTTCACCATCAACATTAACATCACGTAAGAAAGGGAAGCACGTATCTGCTTGGACAATAAACGAGGACTTTACATTCAGAATTACAGCAATCTGCAGACTTAACTGTGATGTCAACCGATCTGTTGAGGTAGGCAAATGATTCTTAATTCCTTTCACCAAAGAATTTATATAGTTCACTTGCGGAATAAAACCATGGAGTTTGTTTGTTTGTTTGTTTGTTGGTATCCAAGATTAATCATTATGCAGAACAGTTCATAATATCTCAAGAGAATCTATGGTGAGAGCAAGATCGTCATTGCAGCCTTGGAAATCAGTGATAGTGGATGAAATTTATGTTGTGCTGGGAGTATTTATGTGCGAGCGGGTATGTTGGCTTGTGTTTCAAGGATTACCACACTAAATTGAATTACTGATGAAATTTAATAAATTACTCTTCATATTCTACAGATATTCCAGTGCATGCCTACAAAATTTGAATGAAATTTTGTTAAAATTGTAGCTATTACATTCATTTCTATCCAAGTATCCTTTTATATAATCTTAAAATACCAATCATTTCAATCCTCAGCATATTTAAATTGAATTAAATCCTGTTTGCATGGGTTACATTAGATTAATATATTTTCAGTAAGTGCATTGCTTTTGGAAAGTGATACGAAATCAGTGGATTTTCGTAGCGTGTACTTCTCTGATGCAGGTTGGTGTCCAGGCAGGTTTGTTTCATGGGGGGAAGTCTCTTTGTGAAACACAGAAGACTACAGAGAGACAGGTGTCGAAGGAAGGAAGCTGTGAGTGGGAGGAAGACTTGACATTTGATCTACAAGTGTGTAACATCCCGCGTATGGCTCGTCTATGTCTAGTGGTTTATGAGATCTCCAAAACTGCCAAAGGTGTCAAATCAAGAAAAGTGAAAGACTTGAAACAGGAGCTGTATATTAATCCATTAGCATGGGTGAACACTACAGTTTATGATTTTAAGAATCAGCTGAAGACGGGTGCTATGACTTTATACATGTGGACGTATGCCGAGGATGTTCAAACAGAAGATATTTTACACCCCCTTGGAACTGTGGTCTCTAATCCCAATGTGGAGCATGCTACTGCACTTACTCTCACATTCCACAGGTAACAGCTTTCATTTCATGTTTTGTAATTATGCCATAATAGAGAGGAACTAGGTAGCCCAGTCAGTATAGTAACTAGGCTATTGGTTGGATGACCAAAGAATTTGGGTTTAATTTGCAGCAGAGAAAAAGATTTTATTCTTCATCGCTACACCCACAGCAGCTCTGAGGTCTTCCCAGTCTCATGTCCAATCAATATGGGGGATCTCATTAATTATGGATGAGAAGAGTTTTTGTAGTCAGCATTTATGGTGACCGACAGAATCTCTTATTTTATTTATGGTTTATTATGGTACTGTTAGTAGCTGAAGTTCTGTGGCATCAGACAATACAATGTTTAATGAATGATAGAGATAAGGAAGAAGTGGCCGTGGCCTGTTTCAAAATATTGTCCTTTCGTTTGTCTGGAGGGACTGGGGAAAACCTTGGAAACCTTCAATGTGGGTAGTTGGTGTCCCAAGTAAAATGTAAACCAGGCGTCTCCTGAATACACATTAGAAACATTTCTGCCTAAGTCATCTTGCTCACTGACAAGAGTCTAATTTCTCAAATGCTGAATGTAGTAAAATATTCCACCTGTTGTTTTAAACAATGTTGGTGACCAATCAGATGTCACAGTTGAATGCCTAGCACTACTGCTTCCTGTTTGGCAGATTTGTGGTGCAAATATGAGCCCAGAGACTGGCTAACCTGACTGAGATATTAATGTTTTTTCAGTTCCTCCAGGCAAATGCCAGGAAAGTACGTAGCACGTCCACAAAGTAAGTTTCCCACTCATCCCACAGCTAGCAAACTTTATATTGCATGAAGCGACTGCGCGTACGTGATAGTGCAATGACGTAGCATGGCGCATGCACAAACCGAATTTCCCGTGTTCCCACAGTGGCATCGTTGCAGCTGTTGAAGATGGAGGCTCTTATTCCAACTCCCGCCGACTGTGAAGTGCGGTCACTGATAAAGTTTTTGAATGCACAGAGCATAGCACCGATCGAACTTCATCGTCAGCTGTGCCAGGTCTATGGGCCTAACGTCATGAGCAAGCAGATGGTGCGTCGCTGGTGCAGACAATTATCAGCAGGTTGACAAAGTGTGCATGATGAGAAGCGCAGTGGGTGGCCATCCATCATTACAGACGACCTGGTGGAGCTTGTGCAGAAACTCATTATGGAGAATCGTCGCGTCACAATTGCGGAACTCAGCAGTCATGTCCTGCAGATTTCCCGCACCTTGTTGCACGAAATTGTCACGGAGCACCTGTTCAGGAAATTGTGCGCCAGGTGGGTGCCGAAGCAACTGTCACCAGAACACAAAACAAAGCGCATGGAGTCAGCATTGACCTTTCTGCAGCGGTACCATGATGACGGCGACGAGTTTCTGGACCGGATCATTACAGGTGATGAAACATGGATTGCACACATTACCCCAGAAACCAAGCAGCAGTCAATGCATTGGCGTCACAGTGGATCTCCCTGTAAGACGAAATTCAAGCAGACGTTGGCGCGGAAAGTGATGTGCACGGTATTCTGGGACAGACGGGGCGTTCTCCACGTCGACTTCCTGACCAGAGTTGAGACGGTGAATGCTGAGCGTTACTGTGAAACACTGCAGAAATTGCAATGGGCCATTCAGAACAAGCGGCGCAGGGGATGCTTAGTGCCGGCATTGTCTTCCTGCACGATAACGCTAGGCCGCACACGGCTCGATGGACAGCGAGTCTCCTGCAGTAGTTCAGCTGGGAGGGGTTTAATCATCCACCCTACAGCCCAGACCTCGCTCCCAGTGATTTCCATCTTTTCCTACACCTCAAGAAATTCCTGTCCGGTGAGCATCAGGATTTTGAGAATGACAGAGAGGCAGAGATGGTTGTCACACAGTGGTTCCAATCCCGGGCGGCAGACTTCTATGAGACAGGTATTCAAAAGTTGGTCCCACGGTATGACAAAAGTCTCAATTCCGGTGGCAATTATGTTGAAAAATAGCTGAACACTTGCTGTATCTGTTGCAATAAATATTTCCATGAAATTATGTTTTGTTTCTGTAAACAGCCCCAGGGAAACTTACTTTGTGGACGAGCCTCGTACCTCAAATTAGGCCTTGACCACTTCCTTCTGCATCCTTACGAATTCATTACTCAGCTTGGTAAACCCCACAGGAGGAACTGTTTTGAAAATGCTCTCAAGATCAACGTCCTGTGACCTTTGTGCTGAATTTGATCATGAAGTGTCCATTTGAACTGCATGATTTAAGTGTAGCAGGTTAAAATCTGACATGCTTGTTTAGCAGGTGTGTGAGTAAAGTTAGACAGCGGTGGAGGCTGACACTGAGGTTATTTACCGCTGGATTACTTTTTGCTAATGTAGATTACATAGCTGAAAGTTAAGACAGTAAAAGAAAATGAATCATAATAATGAAATTGCTGAGGCTCCTGGTTATTGATAAAGATGAAAATAACTCTTCTTTAACTTGTGTAGTGTTAATTAACATTTGATTTGTATCCTTATTAGGTGAATTCTTTAGTAAGCATAAAAGAGTGCTTATTCAGAAGTCATGTCTGTCCATCTGTTCTGTCTGTCAGGACCTAAACCATTGGAGAGGCTTTCATAAAATTTAATATGTGTAATTTTCAATAAAAATTCTTGGGCAGTTCTGATTTTCCGCCATATTGATGCATAGCAAAGCCTATTTTACATAAGTCCATGAATGGACTTCTCCATATATTCCATATACCATTTCATGTTATATTGTATTTAAGCATCCTGTTACATTCCACACTTCTATATGTATAATATAAACTCCGTCGTAAATGCAACACTTTATTATAGTTCTTGTCCCCCTACTTTCACACTACATGTTTCGGCCACAATTGAGAATTTAAAATTGTGAACCAATTGACGAGTCAGTATCAATAAAGATTTTAAACATACGTGACAAAACCGACAAGGAGAGTTCTGGAACATTGGGTGGGGATTGATGACAGAACGCTGAACAATTGGAAATCTGGAGTTTAAATGTTAATATTGAGTGCAGTGTGACAGCTCTGTGAAGTAAAATACCCCTGATGATGGCCGGTTGCAGCCGAAACATACTCATATAATATGAAAGAAAGGGGACAAGAACTACAATAAAGTGTTGCATTTACAATGGAGTTTATATTATACATATAGAACCATTTCATGTATTTGAGAAACTTCACCAAACACTGTCAGATAAATCAGATTTTTTACTGTATTGATCAGTAAATAAATTCAAGATGGGAAATTTTTGCAAATTTGCATTTTATTGTTCCCATTTTTAAATAAGCTGCAAAGAATTCCATTGGTAATTTTATATATTGCATTATGGAATTCTCTTCTGGGAGGGTAAAGGGCGGCTGGCACATAAGGCTGACAAACTTACCCCAATCTTTGAGCCGATTGTGTAGAAAACATGGGAGCCACAACATCTCGCAACCCTGTAAGCCTCCCCGGCTTGTTACAGGGATAATTCCCCCCCTCCCCATTGTGGAATACACCCGTCCAGAGTATAAGACCTGGAATTAAATGTGCAGTTGTAAATGGGGCTTTGACATATTCATACCTCTGTAAGATGATATAGATAAATGCCTAATCATTTATAGTGAGGACCATCTAAGTTGTTCATATTATATATTTGGAGTTAGCTTTACTGAATTCTGTATATTTTAGATATTCACAATCCTGAACCTCATTCTTTGTCTCTTAATTAGGCGAAATGAAAGAATGTCATGTTGGACTTCTTGTGATAGTTATGTACCCTGTTCTAGTAAATACATATAATTTTAAAACAAAATGCAGATCTTTATAACAAAAATTCTTATGGTTTTGTTTGGAAATACTGTTATATGAACTTGAAAATGGATATTTTTTGTAATTAGCTTGTGTTAATTCATCATACAGATACCATGCAGAACGCACAGTGATGTACCCTTCACCTTTACTGGAAAACACTGCTAGTCAGGATTCAGCATATGACATGCCAGGAACACCAGTTGGTCAGACGAAGAGCCACCTGGAGTTTCTGTGTCAGATTGCTGAACGAGATCCTCTACATGAGATGCATGACCAGGAGCGCAAAATAATTTGGAGTCTTCGTTATGAATGTCTCCATCATGTGCCCCACCTTCTCCCTAAATTGTTGGACTGTGTTGAATGGAATGATCACAAAGAGGTAGACCATTGCTTGTCTTGATACAGATACCATCTGACTTTGACTTTATCAATTTCTGTAAACAGAAAATAGTCTCAATAGTAGTTACTATAGGATTCTGACGATGGTGTATAACACACTGATATGTTGGGTTTTTGGACTTTATCCATCGTCCTGGTTTTTAAGATAACAAATAAAAACACGACGTTTCGGAAACTGGATCTGTTTCTGTCCTCAGGTGAAGGAAAACACCTATTCAGTTGGGTCCCTTAGAAAGAGCTAGCCTCAATCACTGGACAAACCAATGTCACAAAATATGAAGGTGTTTATAATCTTCATGTTTTGTGACATTGGTTTGTCCAGTGATTGAGGCTAGCTCTTTCTAAGGGACCCAACTGAATAGGTGTTTTCCTTCACCTGAGGACGGAAACAGATCCTGTTTCCAAAACGTCGTGTTTTTATTTGTTATCTTAAAAACCAGGACGATGGATAAAGTCCAAAAACCCAACATATCAGTGAGTCTGAATAGTAATTGTTATTTAATATCACTAGGGGACTACTATCCCCTGCTCACTGTTTCTTGCCAACTCCTCCAAGATCTTTAATTCAGTGGACTATTGAATAGGATAGTAATTGAATATGAGGATTATTGTGTACAGTTTTTTGTAATTAATATTGTACTCATGCTTTTATATGATTAATATGTACTGTTTTAGATGTAGTGTATTCATATTTTCACGTTAACCATTTAAATGAATATACTGATTGAATATTATGCACAGTGCTATATATATTGTCAATTGTCAGTTATATCTAATACTGTTTATTGTACTACACAGTCCATCAACAATGCAACAAATTGTTCCTTCTTTCTTACGCTTTCACTTTCGACACAACATTTTTCGGTCCTAAATAACCATCTTCAGGTGCTATACTAAAACTGCAACACTACACAGTGGACAATATTAATGCAGTGTAGCAGTTTTAGCATAGTACGACACCTGAAGATGGCCATTTAGGGCTGAAACATGTTGTGTTGGACGTGAAAGTGTAAGAAAAAAGGAACAATTTGTTGCACTGTTGATGGACTGTGTAGTACAATGAGTAGTATTTAGATACAGAAATTCAACAGAATGCTTAAATACAGGATTATTAGTTATATGTTTTTTATATATTATGTGGTTTTGTGTTGTTTATGTGCATTTCTTTATTTATATATATGTGTGCAGTAGTTTCTCATTTCAGCATTATATACCCTCTGATAGTGCTAGTGTCTGTTTGTCTGGTTCTTTCCATTTGAGATATCTTGCTTTGAAATATGTTATCTTTGAAAATTCTGTCTCAAGTATCAAAGTCAGAAAATAATTTTGCACGCTACAGTGCACTCACAAATAGCTGAAACAGGTTACTGATATATTTGCTGACTACATATTCCAAATCAGATGCATTCTGATGGTTGTTAAATATAAATTGCAGGTGGCTGAGGTAACAGCTCTCCTTCAGAAGTGGCCAAAACTGCCTGTTGAGAAGGCCCTTGAACTACTGGATTACGCTTATGCTGATCAAGCTGTCAGGAGCTTTGCTGTGAGGTGTTTGAAGGATGTCAGGTAAGTTCACCTCACAGTTATGTAATTTTAACACTTTCACTGTTAAATATTTATGTAACATGGTGATCCTGTCAGGTTAAGTACTTTCACAGTAATAAAAAGGAATTCGTGGTAAGTTTCTGAATCGATTTTATGATACATTTCACAAGTAGTTCTAAGAGATAGCTAAGAGATGGCATGGCTTTGTTCTTTTGCCAATGCAGCGCCTGTGAGACAAGAAGGAAATTTTGAAAAGTTTCACGACAAATAATTGCAATGTGACCCATGAAGAACAACTAGCAGAGGCACAGATATTCATTTATGACTGTAAAAAGGCTAATAAATGTTATGATATCGTAACTTTCATTGAATCCATTTGAGGAAGGAACCAGAATTACTGCAATAAGTAGGTCTGCTGTATTACCATTTCTAGCTGAATTCAGTCTTAGACCTTTATAACCCTTGAATCACATGTTCAAATTCTGCTTAGTGTAGGGATGTATATCGGCATTATTCTGCATTCTCCTGCATGTATATATGCTGTGTGATGGTTAAATCCATGTTTCTGGAAGTCCTGAGGTAGAAACCTATACAGTTTTAACTGAAATACACCATTTTCAGGTGTATAGGGTCTGACAGTAAGGTAACCAGATGGACTTTTTGTTGATCCTTGACAGCATTGGTAAAATGGTTCATATTGGAACATGTGATTATATGAACATTAAATATTGTATAATTATCATTATTTGGATTCAGGCCCTTTTTTTAAAGTGTCACTGTTTGTCCTATTGAAGCAATTCCTTCTCTCTTTTTTGCATAAAATTTAGATTCAATATTACCAGTACATTTTCAGGAAAATTGTCACAAAATAGCAGTTACCTACAGAACGTTACAGGTTTATGAAGGTGGAACAGTCTGAAGAGAAGACGTTTTCATACAGATCAAGAGAGTTCAATAAAGAAATGGAGATGTTAAAGTTGATCAATATGCCAGCCATTAAATGGCTCGAAGAATGATCGAGTGTTCAGAAGTAAACAGATGAACTGAACATCAATAAAGAAAGTGTTAGATTGGCATTATCTGAAATCTGAACTTAGAGAATGGGTGTGCAAAGATGGTGCCAAAAAATATCAGTGTTAGGAAAGAAAGGAATTTGGGGATTTGTTCAGAACTTTCTCAAAGAACACTCAGAATTATTGGGTTTTTGTATTTTGTCCATCGTCTGGTATACTAAAAAACTAGAGAACACTGGTCCAGTGTTTGAGGTTATCTTTTTTCAAGGGACCCAATAGAGTATTGTATTGTATTGTATTGTATTGGAGAGGGTGGGTTTCCCCATGCACTTAGACCATCTGTTGGTCCATTGTGTGTCCCCCTATGATATTCTACCAGTCTCTATTCCCTACCGGTACTGGTGCGTGCGATCAGTCCCGACTCAGCCAGTGAGTTCGGCCTCTACTGGCTCAGCAATATCTCGATGCTTCTCCCATCTACCAGAGGCATTAGAGACTACTGTTGGGCGGGAAATGTCCTGAATTTGGCTCAGTGGTCCCCTTGGGACATGAGGTTCTTTTACGTGCCGTAAAGCTACGACACGGAACCCATGGCTTGAAGTCCCTCCCGGAGGACTGAATTTTTCTGCCCTTAAAAATTCCACGACCTCCGCCGGGTTTGAACCTGCGTACCTTGAGTCACGAGGTGGGAACGTTACCCCTAGACTACAGAGGCCGCTACCCAATAGAGTAAGTGTATCCCTCCTCACCTGAGGATGGAAACAGATCCAATTTTGAAACATTGTGTTCTCTAGTTTTTTACATTACTGGACAATGAACAAAGTCCAAAAACCCAGTAATTCTGAGTGTTATACACCATAGTCAGAACCGTTTAGAATCTGCTTTCACAAAAACTTCAGTAAACTGGAGATTGGGGAGGGGGGATTGGACAAGTGATACAAGCTGTATCATACAGTATGTTCTGGAATTAAAGCAGCAAAGTCTGCAGTGCAGTAATTGCGCATTATCCTCACCACAAAAACTGGACAAGTAAATATCATACCTCAACATTATTCCAGTTTGATTTTTAGATATCAAAGGAATAATGTTATATGTTTCTCTACAACAGACAGTGAGTCAAGCTTTCTGCCTTAATGTTTTACAACATTAGAGCAGTATGGGAAATGAGAAAATTACAAGTGGATTATGTCATGGCACTGTGCCTTCTTACACACCTCTTTCCATGTGGTATCCCCCCTCCATACAAGCATTATTACATCCACCATGCTTCACGGCCTGGTACAGGGATAGCTTTACTTACTTACTTACTTACCATGCTTGCAGGGTCCTGCTGTCATGCAACTTTTCATGCTCCAAAAACTGAGAATTTCAGAAACATCTCATTTAATATGTGTTGAGGAAATTCAAAGCAATTTGATTGCAGTGCTGAATGGACTTTCAGATAATTATTTCCAGTACTGTATGCAAGCGTGGTAGAGATATCCATAATGTGTGTATATTTACCATCTTTTAGTGCATACAGTTTCACTTGTCACTTCACACTACATGTTTTGACATCATTCTGCCATCCTCAGGTGTATCATTCACGTTAAACCATTGCACTGCCTGCCATCAAGTGTCCATTTATAAAATGATATAAAATGTGTGTTCGTCATTGTTGAATAATAAAATTTATATATTAAAACTTGTTAAGATCTATCATCTTACATGTTGTATATCAAACTCGTGTATAACACCATTCCTCTGCTATGGGAGTCGTTCTTCTTGTGGTTTAATTCTGTATATACTGTGTCTTATGATGTATCTTTCTTATGTGGCTGCATGCATTGTATTGCTGGACATGTGTGTGTGTGTGTGTGTGTCACTGGACTGCCCATCCCAGAGTCCTGACCTGAATCCCATAGAACACCTGTTGAGTGAATTAAAACACCAACTTCGCTCCAGACCCCAGTACCCCTCATCACTAAATACTCTGGCTAGAGCTCTTCAGGAAGAATGGTCTGTCATTCTGCCAGAGACATTCAGACACCTGGTAGAAAGTCTCCCCGGCAGAGTTAGTCACTCACTCACGGAGCTGAGCCCTTCTTGAGAAGCTGTCAATTGTGCAGCTACTCAAGAACTTTCCAGCATTTTATGGAACCTGAAAGTTCATTACCATGTTCACAAGAGCCCTCTACTAGTCCCTGTCCTGAGCCAGATCAGTACAATCTGTACCATCCTATCTTATCTCTCTAAGATCCAATTTAATATTGTTCACCCAACTATGCCTTGGTCTTCCCAGAGGTCTCTTTTCTTCTGGCTTTCCCACCAATATCCTATATGCATTCCTCTACCCCAGCAAAGTTTGAGCTATCATAAAGGCAATGGGTGGGCCCACCCAATATCAATGCCCACAACTAGGAAGTATGTCACAGAAGAGTTCAGATTACAGGTTAGGGTAGGTGTCTGGATACTTTTGTTCAGACAGTGTATGTGCATTACAAATTTGTTTTTGAATAACTTTATAAAAGCAGTAAATTTTCATTGAAATTTTTGTCAGTTGGATGAGAAGTCTGGATGCTTGGATACCATATAATCAGGAGTTACTGTATGTGCCTACTTTTATATTACAGTTAACCTTTCTGGAAAGAAAAATAAAAACGTTTCAAGAATACATGTGTTAATTTTGCCATGTCTGTCTCTGCCCATCTGCCTGTCCATATGTAACAACTCAAGAATTGCTGAACAGATATTCATTAAATTTGATTTTGGATAGTCTTACCAAAATTTGTTGGCACTTTCCAGTTTTGGTTAATATCAAGTAACAAAAATGGACACTTCATATAAGGACTTGGTTGTGTTCCTGTGCACATCTTGAATGTAAGTTCCTAAATATTAAGATTTTACATTTTGACAGTGGTATATGTTAAGATTCTGGTCTTCTGGGATGTGGTAATGTGTAGTTTGCAGCCCACCTTTAGAATAGAAAGAGTACTGAAGGGAGTAAAATTGAATTGTCTAAGTAACATACGTGTTGGGAATACAAAGGTATATCCATTTTTATACAGCTGTATTGTTTTCTGTTATAGCAATGAAGACCTCTCTATGTACTTGCTGCAGCTGGTCCAGGCACTGAAGCATGAATCATATTTATTTTGTGACCTGGTTGAATTCCTTTTAAGGAGAGCACTTAGCAACCAAAAAATTGGCCACTACCTCTTCTGGCATCTCAGGTATTGTACCTAATTTCTAAAATAGAATTTCACTGCTTTGCTTAAGAAAACTAATAAGATCACTTAAAAGTGACTAGGAGGGCATGCAGTAGCATAGTTGGTTGAGACACTTTGCTACAAGCTGGAAGGTCACAGGTTCAAGTCCTGGTGAGGTGCATTATTTCAATTTACCTAATCCTTTCAACTGCACTATGGCCCTGAGGTTGACTCAGCCTCTAACAGAAATGAGCACCAGGAATCCTCATGGGGGGTAAAGGGTGGCTGGCACGTAAAGCTGACAACCCTACCACCATCTTCGAGCCAATTGTCTAGAGAAAATATGGGAACCTCAATGTCTCGCAGCCCTGTCGGCCTTCACAGCCATTTACAGGGATAGCATTACCTAAAAGTGACTAGAAAGTGGCACGAGGACCCATTCTCTTGTTTGATCAGTCATTACTGTGTCTGCCGAACATTCTGTTTAATGCCATTCCTTTCTAAAATGAATGATCAACTCTTATTGCAGGTCGGAAATGCAAGTGGCATCTGTATCTGTGCGGTTTGGACTCATTCTGGAGGCGTACTGTCGTGGTAGTCAGGAGCATATGAAAGTACTAGCAAAACAGATTGAATCCCTTGATAAACTGAAGACAACAAGTGAGATGGTTCGGCAGCGAAAAGACAAAGATAAGGCTCGGAGTTTCATGCAAGAGCACCTTGATCAGAAGCATATAACAGAGTCCATATCTAGGGTACTGAGTCCACTAGATCCAAGTTACCGTTGTAAAAGGGTCAAGTAAGTTAACACACGTTTTTAAGAGGTGTGAACACAGGTTTATCTCATTCCAGTTTCAGGATCTTATATCAGAATTTGCTCAAGGTAAATGTATATTATGTATACTTTTTAATAGCTCAGTCATCCCCCCCCATTTCGTGCATCCTGTTGTGTTATTGTATACAGTTTTAACCTTGACCGTTATGTTTTTGTGTTACGACGGACTCCAATAAAGAATTGTGTATCTCAGTCATGTTCAGTTCACAGACAAGAGGTTAGGGTCTTTCTCTTCATCGCCGTGTCTCATGGCCGTGGTTTATTTTCAGGGTGGATAAGTGCAAGGTAATGGACAGCAAGATGCGTCCTCTCTGGATTGTGTTTGAGAATGATGATTCCTATGGAGATGATATATACATTATTTTCAAGAATGGTGATGACTTGAGACAGGATATGCTGACACTTCAGATGATACGCATCATGGATAAATTGTGGAAGAAAGAAGGTCTTGATTTAAGGTAAGAACCTTCATTTTCCTGTCATGGTTATTTCATTCAGTATTGCACCCTTCTCTGAAGATTCATTGGTAAGAATGGGTACTACTGAATGTCTGAAATATATCTGAAAGTTCATTTAGCTCAGTGAATGGCTTCATTAATTGTCAGTCATAATTAATGCTGGATATGAGGGGATATCCCTGAATCAGAGGCTTAGGTGACATACAGGTAAAACAGGATTTCTTTAACTTCTTAAAAATATATTGGATTTGAGGTTCTCACAGCAGTGTTTATGAAGAGTTTTATCTTCTGGGGTGTAATGCCATGTAGTCAGTTGAAAGTCAGCCAGCATCACTCTGAAACATCAGTTGGCTTTCAGTGGACTACATGGCTTTTTATCCCAGAAGATAGAACTCTTCTTAAGAAAACCTGGGAACAAAGCAATGAGGGCTATGGTACTGGCATCGTATGCCAAAGATTTATTTTCAAAATTGCTTGGATTCAGTTCTTCATTCTGCCTAAGACACCAGGTCTGACGAAGACAAAACTATGCTCCATACTGTGTCTCAGAATCCATTTTAAAAGGCTGTGAACCCCCTCTCTTGACCAGTGTTCTCATGGTTGTCATTTCAGAATCTGCCTCGTAAGTGCTAACGCATGAGAAGTGGATTCATACTCACAAAATGAGAATAGGCAAAGAATAAGATTTCAAAGTTTGTGATGATGGTATAGTAATACAATTATTGACTTTGTTTTTACGTTATCTAGTGTCTGGGTTTGTATTTAAAACAACATTTCAGAGACTGGACTTGGCCTCCATCCTCAGGTGAAAAGCCTGCTCACTTGGGTCCAGTCAGTAGAGCTAGTTTGGATAGACAGACTAGCTCCATTAGTTGGGTACAACGGAGTGAGCTTTTTGCCTGGAAACAGAGGCAGAGTCCAGTCTCCAAAATGTTTTAAATAAGAAACAGGATGGTGGTTAATGTCCAGAAAGTCAATAATTGTAGCAGTATCGAAGTCAATATAGACTATATTATATTTAAGCATCCTGTTGCACTATACACTTCTATATGTAATAATACAAATGCCATCGTGAATGCAACAATTTATTTGCTTGTAGTTCTTTGTCTCTTCTTCCTCTGTATTATTACATATAGAAGTCAATATAGANGGTTAACACCACATGTGCACGGTGCCAAATCCCAGAAGACTGCTTTCTTCATAGTCACCGCCGTGAAAGCCTCAAATCTTACAATATAGACATTCTCTAAATTCTTTAAAAAAGAAACCACACGTTTATAATATTGTAGTTAAACAGTTTGCTGATGTAAAATACATTGACAGTGGTTTTCTGGATTCAGCTGCCCTCATGGCATGAATTAACACTGCAAAGAAACAGTTTTTATCGTGCTATAAACCTCACAAGCTATCTTACATGTGGATGAATGGAGGAATGTAATTGCAAAATGTACAGCATTTCAGCTGTTTGCATTTTCAGGATGAATCCTTATGGCTGTATCTCAACAGATCATCGGGTGGGTTTAATTGAAGTAGTGCTAAATGCAGAAACTATTGCTAACATTCAGAAAGAAAAAGGAATGTTCTCTGCTACTTCTGCATTCCGAAAAGGCTCGTTACTAGGTAAGCAGTCTTATTCTCTTAAGTAAAGTTATTCTTGGGCTTAATTGATTAAGCACCACACCATGTAAATGTATTTAGGAGTGGAGGTATAGCTCCACCGTTCTTAAGTGAGCAGCTTCATGCTGCTGTGGGGAAAGAGCCCCCAGTAGCCATTATGCAAGAGACTGGGTGGGCCCCATAGTTGATCGGGACATATGGAGACCGGAGAAACCTCTTGCCCCTACCAGGAATTGAACTCGAGTTCCTTTGTCATCCAGCCCACAGCCTAGTTGCCATATTGGCTGAGCTCTTAGTGTAATCAAGAGAGGAAAGATATATTCCAGTTAGGAGTACATATATTTTTCCGAATATGTAACTTGTGACTTACGATACCTCATTGGCCTGTGCATTATCAAATCTTGAAGCAAGACAATTATAGAGTTACGGTGTATCTTTTCTTTGTATAATTGGATATGTATTCTCATTGATATAAATCTTGTGTTGGTTACTGCTTTGAAATTAGCTTCCTTTGCCTTTTTGTTGTTAATTCATTATCTATAAATAAGATTAACTTGAATTATCAATATCAGTTGCAGTTCAAATATATGACTTAAGTGTTTTTTGTTGACAGTAGAAAGAAAAACAAATGAATACCAGTACTTTGTTCCATTACATTGTAAATACAAATGCACTGTTGTAAACCTGTTCACACATCCTGAGAGACTGAAATTCCTCTTCCTTATATGTTCTTGTTAACTGCAGGATTCACTGTATTGAAAATGTTTCAGATAAATATTTTGTCATGTTTTGGGTAGCTTGTTAACAGATGATGGAAGGTGTACTTGTGAAATTAAATCCAGGATTGCCATGGCAAAAGCTGCATTTAGCAAGAAGAAGAATCTTTTTACCAGCAAATTGGACTTAAATTTGAGGAAGAAACTAGTGAAATGCTACATTTGGAGCATAGCTCTGTATGGGGCTGAAACATGGACACTTAGGGCAGTAGATCAGAAACATCTGGAAAGTTTCGAAATGTGGTGTTGGAGAAGAATGGAGAAGATCAGTTGGACCGATTATGTGAGAAATGAGGAAGTGTTAATTAGAGTCAGTGAGCAGAGGAATATCCTACATGAAATAAGAAAACGGAAGGCTAATTGGATTGGTCATGTTTTACGCAGAAACTGCCTTCTAAAAGAAGTTATTGAAGGAAAGATAGATGGGCGGATAGAAGTGACAAGAAGACGAGGAAGAAGACGTAAGAAGATGCTGGATGACCTTGGGGACAGAAGAGGATACTGTCATTTGAAGGAGAAAGCTGTAGATCGCGTTAAGTGGAGGAATTGTTTTGAAAGAGACTGTGGACCTGTCGTCTTGACAGATTACTGATGATGATGTTCAAACCTGTTGTACGATGGACCACTTCTGAGATAATCAGTAAAATTTCATTCTAGCTTCATGTAGTCTATGTTTGAGCAGTACAAATTAAATTAACTTGATAGTGACATTTAGTGTAGACCCTCAGCACCAAATTTCATTAAAAAATTTGACCACTAATTTCAGAGATGCAGCATGTGGACAGATACAACCTCCTTCCCCCATTATGTATTAATTTTATAAACACTGGGCAAGAAATGCATTAAAAAGTTTAGAGACGCATTTGAGATACCGTCGTCATCATCATCATCATCATCATCATGGTCCAGGCCACACCATCTCTTCCTTTTCTCCCTCATCTAGAAGAGTAATTAAGAACTGTCTTTAGTAATCTTGCTTCATTCATACATTCTAAATGTTGTCTCCAGCTATTCCTGTCATTTTATACAGTCAAACCTGTACTTATGAACTTTCAAGAAACGAACAATTCGTATTTACGAGCATTGCACAGACTAATAAATTGTTACTCCCAATTCATATAATAAGTACAGAACCCCACACTTAATGAACATTGTAACAAATTTAATGATATATCTTATTAAAAAATAAATTCAACCTGATGAACATTCAACTTACAAACACATTATGTTGCTAAGTTGGGCTTCACCCATATTGTTTTGGAGAGACCCCCTCCCTGGGTCTTGCTACACAGAAGCTCAGAACTAAAACATGAACAGTTTGAGCAAATTACATAATTATTATGATGCCAATGCCGAAAAATCTGCAATACAATTTGAGACCCATATTTCGTTATTTGTGATATTTCCTTATATTTGAACACTCTGGGTTCTTGAGCTCAAACACATGAAATTTCTTTGTCCTTCAGAACATGTTTCGTTACCATTGTTAATATAAAACATATGACGGTTATCCACTTATTGTTGCCACAATCTCAATGCTTTCCTCATGGAGGAGAGTGTGCATTTAAGAGCAATATTAAAAATTTCCTGGTGCTGCCTGTTCAGTATGAACGTTTTTATTGTAACCATTTTTTTTGCAGCCTGCCATTTGAGAAAAATGGTGGAATGAAAGGACATTAGGCTATTTTATATATATTGTGTCTTTGTTTGCATGCATGCAGGGTCATCGAAAAAGACTGCTGGGATTATAAAAACCTATAATTTGAAAAGTGTTAAACATATCAAAATGATTCAAGTTTTAAAATGCAGAGAAAGAACGTAAGTTTTGGATATGCCCAGTGGGTAGCACCTCCTCATTTTTGCCAGTCTGTGCTCAAAGCCTTGAATGAGAAGTTCCCAGACACCTGGATTGGGAGGAGTGAACCAATCTTCTGGCCTTCCAGAAGCCAAGATCTTACCACAGTGGACTCTTTTTTTGTGGTGATACATAAGGTACATTGTGTATGGTGAAAACATTTGGGATCTCCGGCACCTATGGGATAGGATCACAGCAGCCATTACAATGGTAACTCCAGATATGATTCAGTGGACTTGGCACAAAATTGAATACCATCTCAATATTTTTGCCGAATGACAAATGCAGCACATCTCAAAACATAATAAGGTAAAACAAAAACTTCGGACATTTCTTAGCAATTTATTGCTTGAATCATATCAATATGTTCAACAGTTTTTGAGTGACAGTTTTTTATAATCCCAGCATTCTTTTTCGATAACCCTGTATATATGGATGCCATCTGTGATATCCATAGATTGTTTACATTTTCTTTTTTCCTTAGCACATGTTTCGTGTGTGGTTCATTGATGCCTAAATAAATATGATTTTCTGTGATATAGCATGGCTGAAGGATAATAACCAGTCAGAAGTGTCGCTGAACAAAGCGATTGATGAGTTCACGATGTCATGTGCAGGGTACTGTGTTGCTACATATGTTCTTGGTGTTGCGGATAGACATTCAGATAACATCATGGTCAAGAGAACTGGACAGGTGGGTATTAAATGAAACCATGATAAAACGAGTATGGCTTATAATGAGGATGTCATTATAATGACAAAAACCATTGGAACTGTCATTTGCCTTACATTGCACAAATGAAAACCATCACATAAAACAAGATTTTTTTTTGCATCTTCGTCATGACAAGTGATTCCTGACTAACCACCTTCCTTTACTTACAGTTTTATTTCATGAGATTTTTATGACTAGTATCACATAAGGGACTCATTCTGTCCTACCCTTTTCTAGGAGAAAGTCTGCATTCTGGAGCCTAACTGCAAGCTGCTTATCCCCCTAAATTTTAATCACTAAGAAATGTACATCACTGTCCACTGCACTATAGTATCTTCCACTCACGTCAGACAGGTTTCCCTTCCGGTGACCTAGGTAGGGTGATAGTGTCACAGAACACAACTGTACAGGTGCATGTTCAAGGGTTTCTTACATCGAATATCTACTATGTTTTGGTTGGTTCTGACAGCAACATTTTTAAACTCTTAAGTATGGCAAAGAAATGAAAGAGCTTAGACTTTAATATGAAATTTGAAGTAATACATTCATGTGAAGTTTGCAACCCATCAGAAAACAAAATAGGAAACTGGTATGGATCAACTTCTCTGATATTATTTATGGCACTAAAAACAAAGAGAAAATACAGCAAATACTAAACATATGCAAACTTATATTATTCCTTTCTTTTGTGAGTACATACAAGGTCCGTATAAAAAGTATCGGGAAAAATCTTTCCCTTAACGTGACTGTACACCGCAGCACGCTCGCACCGCGTAGGCGTGGTAGTGGGGGTCTAACCTTTAACACGCGCCAAGCGCCATTCGCCTGAGCGCGTTCGTAGAGGCCAGGCCGTGTTTTAAGTGGACCCCTGTCAAGTGAGTCAGTGCAAGCGCAGAATGCAGCGAACGATTGAACAGAGGTACGCCATCAAGTTTTGTGTTGGACTGGGGAAATCGGGTACGGAGACATTGGGCATGATTCGCCAAGTGTTCAAGGATGAAAGCTTGTCACAAACTGCAGTTTTTAAGTGGCACAAGCTCTTCAAAAGTGGCCGACAGAGTGTGGAGGATGAGCCCCGCGGTGGACGGCTGTCGACGTCAAGAACCGATGACAATGTGCAACGTGTGCGTCACATACTCAATTCAGACCGTCGGTTAAGTGTGCGCATGATTGCAGATCGTGTTGGCATTGATAAGATGACGGTGCACACCATTATCACTGAAGATTTGGCGATGCAAAAGGTCTGCGCGAAACTCATCCCGAAGGTCTTGACAGACAACCAAAAGCAGAGACGACTGGCTGCTTGCGAAGACCTTCTGCAACGCGTTGAGGAGGACCCTGGCTTTCTGGACAATGTCATCACGGAAGACGAAAGTTGAATATTCGAGTACGACCCCGAAACAAAGCGTCAAAGTTCCGAATGGCACACTTCGGCATCACCTCGTCCAAAAAAGGCGCGAATGAGCAAATCCAGAATGAAAACCATGCTCATCGTTTTCTTCGACGCCCAGGGGGTGGTCCACTACGAATTTGTACATGAGGGGCAAACAGTGAATGGAGCTTTTTACCTGGAAGTGCTAAGAAAGAAGAGAAGGGTCAATCGGGTGAGGCCAGCCGTCGCCAGAAATTGGAAATTGCATCACGACAATGCACCCAGTCACACCTGCTCCAAGGTGACTGACTACCTGACAAAAAACAGCATCGCGACGGTACCCCAACCCCCCTACAGTCCCGACTTGGCACCAGCAGACTTTTTCCTGTTCCTGAAAGTGAAATCCTCCCTCAAAGGGCACCATCATGGGACCCTGAGTGCCGTCAAAGAGGCTTGCACGCGGACCCTTAAGGACCTTCTGGAATCCGCCTACCAGGGAGCCTTCGTGTCGTGGCAATGCCGTTGGCAAAAGTGTATCGATGCGCAAGGGATGTATTTTGAAGAATTTTGAGGCATTGTAGCAATATCTGAAATAAATCTATTTTCCTGGAACTTTTCCCGATACTTTTTATACGGACCTTGTATTGGTGAATTTTATTTTTAATTCTCCACTTATATCTGTTTTGAGATCTGTGCCATCACCAGTGTAACGTCATGGGCACAGGAACTATTGATGGTACAGCTCCTAACCAGGTGTCGTGTAAAGAGAGTTATCATCGTATATGCATTTTACAGTTAGGTGCAATGACTCTCTTGCAATCATCATTTACATATATAACATAAAATTTGTATGTTTTCCAGTCATGGCATTCAGAACAACCCTTGGTGTAGTGTATGTTTACATGAATTGGTGTGATTTAAAGAGCTTCATGTGTTGTGCTTGTAATTTTTTTTAGCATTCCTGATTGCTACGTCAGTAACACTTGGAACATGTGACATCATTAAATATATCATTCTTGAAATCCTTTTCCCAAAATGCCTAAAGGATTAGAATTTGTCAACAATAAATAATTACTCTTCACATGGTTGAACCTGCAATTAAAATATAACACTGTCAAAACCAGATAGATAATCAAATTAGATACAATACATAAATAAAAAATGGAAGTTGATGAGTTTCAAGTTTGATACACATCAGTACATTCATTCTCGCATGTATACATGTGCAGTAAATTATAGGCAGAATGTGGGTGGGACTTGTGAGTTGAATATGAGTGATCTGTGCTTGCATACACACAGAAAATAGTGAGCAAGAATTTTGCTTATAAAGGATGACTCCTAATTAATAATCATTTGCAAATAGGAGAGGTTAAGAAAATCTTTAATGCTTTAGTTTCTGTAATGCTAATGACAATGAGAATACAGAGTTATTCTTTTATTATGTTCATGTCCCCCTTGTAAGAAGAAGAAATGTTACTGTATCTGCATTATAATTCAGACCTTAGTGCCGTATTATATTATACATATTTAGAAGTAGGGGACAGACATGTTATGTATTTCAGCGATTTTCAGATATTCGAGCAGCTGTAGAGCAGGCATTTTTAGGAATTTCATAAATTCTTTTAATATCAGTGTTCCAAATGTTTGTCAACTGAAAGTCTGTGATAAAAATGTTTTGCCACGTTTACACTATTATTTCATTTGATATTATCTGTTCACCTGAATGTTACTCGAACACAGTAATGGAATATTCTGTAACCCCAGCCCAACTCCCCTTATGCGAAGGTAGTGCATTTTTACAATAAGTGTTCTGATATTCATATTCTTCCAGTCATTTGATAGATTATTCACTCTTTCAGTTGTTTCATATTGATTTTGGCCACATCCTGGGCCATTTCAAAGAGAAGTTTGGTTTTCGCCGGGAACGTGTCCCATTTGTTCTGACACATGACTTTGTGCATGTGATCAACAAGGGACAGACCAAGAAAGAGGCCCTCGAATTCCAGGTCTTCCAGAAGTATTGTGAGCAAGCATTTTTGGTCCTCCGGCAACACGGTAGTCTAATCATCTCACTTTTCGCCATGATGATCTCTACAGGCTTACCTGAGCTCAGCTCTGAGAAAGACCTCAATTACCTACGAGACACTTTAGTAAGTATTCATGCATGTTAACTGTCATACAGAGCTTATACGTTTCCCATATTAATTTTTCAGGGAATGTTGTAACTTCTAATTCCCTCTCATTTGTCTTTCTCTTTTTTCTTTTATCCCCACAAACTCATTTTGAATTTGAAGGTATACTGATAAATTTCCTCACACAAAACAGAACATGCTACATAAAAATAAAAGTAAAAAATGGGTGTTATGAACTTTTCTTGACCTAACCTGGTGGTATTAAGGATGATTATTTGCTGATGTGTCATCAGTTGAAGTAAAGACATCATAATGTCCCATGTCTGTATTACTTGATAAAATTATTGTCTGAGTGTGTTTTGGTGTGCCATCGTGACAATGTCAGAACGAACATTAAATTTCTTGTTAAATTTGGCAAAGAGTGGAAATGAGATCAGATGTTAGTGATAGTTTACGGGGATAATGCTATGAAGAAAACAGCAGTTTACAAGTGGGTGATAAGTTATTCTGAGTGAAAAGAAAGTGTCACTGATGAAGAGAGTTCAGGATGTCCAGCAATGAACAGAACTGAAGAAAACATTGCAAAAGTCTGTCAAATTTGTGTGAAAATCATCGGATGACTGTCAGGAGCATAGCAGAGCAAGCAAACATCAACAGAGAAACAGGAAAATCTTAACCGAAGATCTTGACATGAGGAAGGTGTGTACAAAAATGATCCCAAAGGACCCCACATGATGCTGTCTGTGAGGGAGTTTTTAGCTAGTAAACAAATAACTGGGCTGGAACACCCTCCCTATTTACTGGATCTAGCCCCAATTGACTCTTTTCTGTTCCCAAAGATAAAGGAAATATTAAAAGGAAGGCGTTTTGATGACACTGATGACATCAGGAGTAATACGACAGTAGCTCTGAAGGCTATTCCACAAAACCAGTTCCAAAATTGTTTCGAAGGGTAGACTAGGTGCTGGCATCAGTTCATAGCTTCCCAAGGGGAGTACTTTAAAGATGACTACAGTGACATTCAGCAGTGAGGTATGTAGCAATTTACCGTGAAGAGTTCGTGAACTTTATTGTTGGACCATGTAAATGGGAATGATGCCAGCTTTTCATTAGGCAAGCAAGTGAGGTTGTATTTCATTCATTTATTGTTATTGTATAGTTTAAGAAGTAAAATTATGAATAGGGAGGTAAACAAATACTAAATAATTTGTTTAAACAGATCAACTCCTTGATGTAGAAATGTCTTATTAAATGAAATGCAGTTAAAGCCACTGTTGATTTTGGAATAATTTTTGTCCATTTTTTGTGTGTGTATGCTCAGTGAGCATATTATTTTATTATATTGTAACGTATTTGGAGTAGATACTTCCATGGTAACGCAATAACAGCCAGCCGTTGAGTAGACAATGCCGAAACAATGAAAGAGTTTCCCCAGAGATGAACAACAGAAGGCCGTTGAGTAACACCGGACAAGACAAAACACGTTACCAGTGTATAGAGATTGTTCCCGAAGCAACGGATTGCCGAACAAGTGAGATCGAACCTTGGCGAATGGTGTCTCGTATCCGGTCTGCAGAACACCTACATAAGCCGAGAGCGACAGAGCTACAAACAACAGAGCTAATTAGCCTTCATAGAGCTACAGTTGGGACCTAGCTTTCATACAAGACAGTTGGACCCTAGTCGAGACGTCGCAGAAGCCATGTGATAGCACAAGCGATAATACTGGTATGGTGTATAAGACTGAGTGTCCAATAAAGATTTGCTGAATCCGAGACCCACGTGAATTTATTTGTTGCATGATACACCCAACACGTGACAATATATTTTCTGCAAAGTTGGTCATTGCATTGATTTCTATTTTAATGTCTATCAGAGTGTTTTCACGTAGGACCCATCTCCATGAACAAGAAGACAACTGAAGCACACACTCAACCAGTCATTAAAGACAGGAGATATAACTTTTGGAGTAAAATTCATATATTTTTCTCCTTTTAAATCTTATTCATGTGCATGCTTATTCATGGAAGAGTTCTATTTACTAGGATATAATGTGTATATAAATATATATTTTCTTTATTGATATTTGTTGTAAATAATAAGGGTCTATTCCATACATCAACATAGATTCATGGTCTCAATACAAGGCGCGGTTTAGATTTATATTGCCCTCAGACAAATTTAACAGTTCATCAGAAGGGTCCTTATTGCTATGGAATTAAACTTTTTAATTGTCTCCCATTAAAAATAAAGGAAGTAGTACATGATAATAAGGTATTTAGAGTGGCCTTAAACGCCTTTTTACATTCAAAATCCTTTTATACTTTGGATGAATATTTTGGTTGTATAAATGAGTAGTAATTTACTATGTTCATTCAATATTGCATGCATTGTTTGGATGTGCAGTTGTACATTCAAGGATATTGCACTGATACCTGCATTGTATATAGCAAGCTTATACCTTGACTGGTTTTATTTGGTATTGAACATGTAAGATATAATCTTCAACTCGACTGGTATGCCATGTAACAAACATACCTCATTATAGCTGATGGATGTTGTGATCTTTTATGGTTTGAGATATATAAGTTACTAAGTTGAATGAATTTATTATGTAATGTGTTTTTATCACAATTTTAACTTATTTTATTTACAATTAAACATGGTATAGTGTTATGTATATTTTAGGTTGATGTTGACTAGTTCCATTGTTGGAGCATTTGTTGAAGATATTTGACTTGTTCTGTGTCCAGTGGTGTTGGCCTGTAATTGGATTTGCTTGAATGCAATAAATACTATACTATACTATACTATAGTATGTTGAATATCAATGGACATTTCAGTGGAACATGTCATTTCCATCTTCATGGTGAGAAAAAAAGCTAAGCAAAAAACCACTATGAAGCAGGTAGCAAGGTCTGTTAATTCTTAAACCCTAAAGATGAAGGTGACATGTTCTTCCAAAATGTCAGTTATTTTCAGCATTATATCCCAGAAGATGGAATTCTTCATGACCGCTGCTGTGTGAACCTGAAATTCTACATGCTATTCATTTCTTTTACACACATGTGCAGCTCACAACTGTAGGAAGACTGCATTTTAATGCAAACAGACTTGGGGAGACAGAGAATTTGCAAAAAGTACCTCAGAATAGCTGGCATTGGCCAAAATTCATACTGTTTTCTTCAAAAGACAGTATCTCTTTGATGCTGGATATTACACAATACAGCTTTTGACATATTTGAGGTTTTGTTTCTTTCAGGAGAGAGTAAAATTGTTGATGCCCTGACCAATTTTTTGAGAGGAAATAGTATCCTTATGCAGTTCTTTCTGCCTGTAAGGCGATGGATATGTCAGAGCAGGATGCCCTGACCCATTTTCTGAGAGGAAATAATATTCTTATGCAGTTCTTTCTGCCTGTAAGGTGATAGAGATGTCAGAGCAGGATGCCCTGACCCATTTTCTGAGAGAAAATAGTATTCTTATGCAGTTCTTTCTGCCTGTAAGGTGATGGAGATGTCGGAGCAGGATGCCCTGACCCATTTTCGGTCAAAGTTTGATGAGGCCCTCTGCAACTCGTGGAAGACTTCACTCAACTGGGCATCCCATAACATGGCCAAGAACAACAAGCAATAATAAAATAGACACTAGCCAATGTTGGCCATGTAGCTAAATTAAGTGGAATGTGTTAGTTGGTTTCAAGGAGAGGAGGTAAGTGAAATGACTTGAAGTACATTTTGTGAAATTGTTTACCCCTCCAGTTCTACAGATCATAATAATGAAGAGCTGAAAGGCGCATTGTTGGTTTGGAAAACCATTTTTTTTAGTTCTTCACAAGAAGTTAAACTGTGTCCACAAATGCTGTTCAGCTTTTGCCTTGGATGTGGATGTTAGCTCAGAAGTGCAACATCTAATAGATTATTTTAAGATAAAATATTTGTATATTTTTTTGTCACCAGTTTGTTTTGTACATTATCAGTGAGCCATAATTTGAATGAACAGTGCAGAACCTTTTATGACATCCTAAAATCCTTTTACATGGCATTTTCCTTCATACCAAGTAGTCCAAAGGATGAAATCAGTGAATGGTATGATTTCATAGTTCCATTAGAACTAGTATAAATTGTGGTCACAGATACCATTTTTATTTTTTGTATTATTTTGTCTTACTTTTTATCCCTTTCCTAAAGCAAAGGGCTAATGACTGAATTATATTACTGATGAATATGAAAGAGGCCTGAGTGCAAGTTGAGAAACCTTTGGGAGTATGGAGCTAATTAAATCTGTGCACAGCTGTCACATATGTTCTCAAACTGATGCCTAATTTTAGATGTAAGATGTCAGAACAATGAAGTAATGTGTCCTATACTATCATGAAGAGGCTAAAGACAAAAGCTTAGAATATACTCAGCTATTAACAGATTCCAGTGTATTAGTGTTTTGTAGTGCTTTGCTGCCTTCTGGCTTATACAAAAATGAAGATCAGTTGATAAATACAAAGAAAAGAACAACTCTTGTTCATGTGTACTATGGAGCTGTTCAGCATGAGGTTTTGGTTGTGGCACAGATGCAGTAGCATTGCTTGCTTACACCTGAAACAAACGTGAGTAACTTGTCAATATAATTGAAATAAACAATTTACACTGGATGGTAGCAATGTCAGCCCACACTACCATAAACAAAGTACAAATTACATAATCTGGAGTTTTAATTGTGATCAAATGCAGTGATGTTATCATGTGCAGTAAATAGAATTACAGTGTTTCGGAGATTCCCCCCACCCCCCACTCATACACACACACATCATGATGAACTCATATAATGAGTAGCACAGTGTGATCAGTATTTTGCAAGTATATGAGTCTCAGACCCCTTCCAGTTGTATTTCTTATTGACAAGTTGGATGGCATGATAAGACTTCGTTGCAATATTCAGAAATGTTTTTCTCGTATTATGATCGTCTGTCTACTGTTCCTATCAGACGTATTTCTGATGACGTTTCAGTACGCTGCTGAGAAACTTGGAATGATTTGTGCTTGGGTGAAGAGGTGGGGAGACACCTACTCAGTTGGATCAGTTAAAAGTGGATCCAATTGTGTAGGTGCCACCCCACTTTTCCACATGTGGACAGAAGCATGTTAAGTTTCTGAAATATGTTTGGTTTGGAATAGTAGACAGTGGACAAAATCCAGAAACCCAGTAGTACTGAGCTTTTCTTCTTATCCAATTTTCATTCCGAATACATCCACATTATGCATGGGATATTTTTCCTTTCTGATGTGCTTGTTCTGCACAGGTAGTTAGTGAATAATTCACGAAGAATAATACTGTCACATCTCCTGGTAATGCAACAAAAAATTAATGGGATTTGGATTAGATGAAGCTGTTTATTGGATAAGTCGTTCGCAATTACAATTACAATCACTCTGAAATAATGTCTTCTAGTCGATGCAACCTGTTTAGTCTGTTCTCTCTCACGTTTCGTCTTCTGGTTCTTGGTTGAGGTGGTTTCTTCTTCTCTGATCTAATCTCTGCTCCTTCTCTGATGTGATCTGACCTCTTATCTTCTACAGTCAGACGGACTAGAAGACACCTCCTTGAAGGGTTTTGTTTCCCGTGATAGCTAGTGTATCGGTAGATAGTGTGTATTTGTTGTCACAGGAAATTCACTAGTTAGCCAGTGTATTCATTGCCATGGAAACTTCACTAGTTCTTGTTTTTCACTTGTGTGGTAATATCTGTTACGTATGCACTGTCTCGGAAATGTGTTTTAACAAGCCGTTGTCTAGCAATGGATGCCCTGCTCTGACTGAAGATATTCTGGCTTTTAGACAGCACACCACAATATTCTATGCCATAGGCTACAATAATATTTCTCAGACTATTAGTAAAATCACAATTGCATTTACAACATCCTTTGACACTTAGAAATGTAATTGTTTGCATATATGAGAAATTATCTATGTTTAAAACCATGCTTGAACTATCAAGTTATAACTGCACTCCATTCTAAAAAGTTTAAAATAAACTGTATTTAACATACAGAGTTAAATGTGGCAACAAAATGTAATGAGCTCTGTTGTGGAATTTTTGCATGTTATGAATGATACTCATTTTCTGCAGAATAAAGAATTATTAAAACAGATAATCATTGGTGGTTTCACTGTGGATTAGAAGTGAACATACATTTTAGCCGGTTTCATGTTTT